AAATCGCGCCACACCACAACACCACATCTTTGCTAATAGTAACAGTGTTCCCATTCTAAATCTAGTTGATATGATCGAAGAGTTGGATTGTGGTTGTCCAATAGCTCGTGAAAAGGATTTTGATTTTTTGATTTCTATTCTCGGAAGGGTAAAGTGAGCTATATTGTTTGTGATGTCTAATTTTACTTAATAACGTTCTAACATATTTTAATTGGTAGTGTTGGTAGTGTTATTCTAGTTCAACAAATCGGCCTCGTGTTGAAACATGGTGTGTCACTGTAATTATTCATACATTTCACCTAACTTATGGCAATGAAGTTCGCCCGCTTCTAGACAGTTTAGCAACTCATTACAGTTGTTTCAATCAACATACCGATGTGTCACTATTTCTGTATCCTTATCAAACAGTGCGTATTTGCGTCGATTTCAACTGGAAGTTTCTCGTGCTGTGCTTTAATGAAAGGAAGCAAATTAATTTTGTTCCTTTGATGTTAATTCCATTTTGGGCACCCATGATCACGCTCTTGATCTACCTTTGAGTAGGTCTGTTGCTATTACGGCATATGTTGATTTCGCCACTTTATTAACAGGGCTCACCGGTTTCATCCTGTATTGTGGTGTCCGGGCCACCTGGATGTGGGAAATCAACGCTAGTTCGCTCTGTTTTATCCACGTGTTCTAAGACCGACAAGAACTTTCGTCACATTGACATCAGTTGTATGGAAGCCTGTCCGTCTAAAACCATAGGAGCTGCATCTCAGAATCTCGTTCTCTTCGATCTTATTCTTTATCAACTGAAATACCATTTTCTCCCGAAAAATTGTAACTTCGAACCTCGATGTGACAACCCTGCTTCATTCATCGAACGTTTCAGTGATTTTTTTTGCAAAATCCCTAAAAGGGAGGGACCTGGTAAGCCTCGCTTGCAGTCGCGTGCTAGTTTTTAGCTACCTTTTGCATTACCTTGTTCCAGGCCGAGAAACTTCGAGACGGTCCTGATAACCTACTTCCTATTCTTGTGAACATGGACTTCTTGGTGCGCGAGCATATGCGCCTCATGTATCCTAGCATCAAACCTCCGTACATCGTCACTTTACTCATTACCTCGTGTTCGTGGGACAAATTTTATTCTGGCACATTTGCCACAGAGCCCACGTGCCTTTATTTGAAGGCTTACACGCGGGAGCAGTTGATGCAGATCCTCACCAACGCTGCACCTGCTAACTTTCCTCACTATGCCCGATTCATTGACATTCTTCTCACCGTGTGTTTGCCCGTGACAAGAAATGTAAATGAACTGCTTTATTTAGCACAAGTGAGTTCTGTGTTCCAATTTTGTTTTAATTTTGCTGAAAATAATGCTTTTGGGCCCTGTAAATAACTTATTTTCTCCTACCACCTTCAGTATAATTGGGGAGCATTCAATGAGCCTGTAGCTACCGGCATGGTGGCAGCGGATGACGAGTGGGGCCAGTATCGTTGTGCATTGCCAACACTTAAGCGTTCGTTATCGACTATTTATCTTCGACCGGAATTGAGTTCCTTCGATTCTTCAAAGTCCCATAGCGGAACCGCTGTGGGAACGCAATCACAACCAGCACAAGCGAATGCCAGCGTGCTTGAACTCCCACTATACGCACGTTATCTCTTAGTTGCTGCATATATTGCTTCTTACAATCCCAGAACCTCAGATAAGCGGTTTCTCGTTAAGGTACGTCAGTGTGCTCCTCTGTAATTATTTGTATTTTTATCGTATAGTTTGATGTCTTTTTACATTTTAGAATACCGGTAAAATTTCGTCCAGGGCTAAGCATAATGAGAAAAAGGCAGACCACGTGAGTAAACGTATTACATTGCCTTACCACGGATGTTTCTGTGCGTAACCGCGTGATAAGTTCGTGTCTGCCCGTTGGTTTATTATTCCACATTCCTAAACCAATTGTTTGCGAAACCCTGACGCCGTTCTCCCGTTTTCTTATTCAAGTAATCGATGAATTTGTTTCTCAAACTAAAGAATTTACTGTGTTCGTTTCGCGCATCACATGTATGTGCGACAGCGCTTATTTACCACCTATGACTTGGTTAAATACACGGCTCCTATAATAATACCAGTTGTTCATCTAAGACACATTTATCTCATAGTCTTCTGCGAAATCACAGATCCTTGTATCGGTCGCTCCATTGTTCCTTGTTTCTTCAAATGATTGCCTCCTTTAGCGACGGAACGTCTAAGTGAGATGTTTGCGCAGAAATCCCCCCTCTGAAAGTTGTCAACTTTCCCACAGTCAAAATTTCTCCTTTAGATTAACAATCATCTTGTTGGGCCGCGTCTTTTTCCACTCGATCGGCTCTTTGCCATTTTCTACGCCCTCCTCCGCCTCGAGAGTGACACCGACCAGCCACCGCCGTTAACGAGTCTTCTCGTGGGTCAGGTTGCCTTCCTCTCCGACCTGGGGCTGATTGCGGCTGCGTCGGGGGCCTTGGCAACAGGCACAGCCGCGTGCAGCGCCGCCGGCCTGCCTGGTGCCTATAGCAACCCCGACGACCCCCTCGCGAACCCGCGCTACCGATGCCTCGTCACCCTGGAGACTGCGCGGTCAGTCGCCAAGTCGGTGAACATCAACCTCAACCAGCACCTGCTCGACTTTGTCTGAAGATGCTCACAATAAGAGCTTGTAGAGATTGTCTCCGGACGACTATTTTTGTTAAATAAGAGTTCCTTTTTTGAACCTTTTTTGTTGTCTACTATTTCAGTGTGGTCGATTCGAAACACTAATTCACCTATGTTGTTTGCTAAGCTAGGTCCCGGCCAAACGCAGCACTTCCGCCTCCAGCGCCATGTTAAACTTTAAGTACCCGCAATTTTTCCTTGAGGTTGTGTGTGTGTGTGTACGTGCGGCTTCACCCAATACACGGAGTATGGATTGACACTACTTTCAAGTCGCCACAGTTTCGCTTTAACGGTTCTACAACAAGTACCACCATTTCCGCACTAGGTCTCAGTGGTAGATCTCTGCGGACACCGGGAGACGGGAGTGCTGTAGCACAATTATACTTAGCGATTCGTACCTGTGATTGGAAAAGGCCTAAATGCGTTGCACATCATATGCTTGTCTCCTCGCTAAGGCTCCACTTTCCTGTCGTAAGCAAGTGGAATGTGCTACCGGTGTAAATTATGTGAACATGCCACTTCGTCCAATTGCGGAGATGATGTACTCAACAATGCGAACGCAGTAACCTTACAAATTGGATGGCACTATAAAAACGAAAGATCTACTGTAGTCAAGTCGAATCAGTGGTCGGTGCCAAATCGCGGCTCGGTTGCCAAAAGGGAAAAAACAGGCAAGTGTAGGTAGGAATTAATTTGGCTTTTATTATGGACAGGGTCGCAAAGCCACTGTATTTGAATAAAAAAATGTCTTGTGTTTTCTGCATCGAATTGCGGCTATATCAGAATGTAGATGGAACATCGTCGCTTGGGAACGCCGATTCAGCACAGTCAATGCAGGTTAATGGTCAACGAGTTAATCGATCATCTAAAACAATTGCGTTAACAGATGGTTAATTATTTGAACGACTGGGTAAGTCCAAAGAGACAAAGGGCCAGTTGTGAGTTGAGGCAACATGTGCTTTAGCAGTCGAAGATAATGTGTTTGTATTGCATTTATAAATTTGTCAATTTGCAACCTTGGCGTCGCATATATGGTGATTAGGAGCTCTTAATGCATGTTTTCAGTGAGATAACGACGTAAATTATGCGAGACTGTGCCCATAGCAGGTTAGTTTCTCATTTTAGGCAACACCAAAAGCAAGTAGACTCGACCATTCAGATTTAGAGGTGACGTTTTGCCTGCATACGGTATGATTGTACTTAAGACAAATCAGTAGCACAACCCTACCTCAGAAGCAGGAGTCGTGGGGATGCTAATGCCAACTTCATAAAAGCACGCAATATCAATTGCAAAATATCAATCGGAGAGTTTAGTGGAAAAATCATTTTAAAGAGGACCAAGTGGAGGATATCAAAGACGCTCGACGAAAATCCACGCTGACTGCCAAGTTTTCTTGGATGACTGGTGCTTTGGGTATTCCACAAGTCCACGAGGATAGGCGACATTTATGATACCGTGACAATAAAGTGACGAAGCTACCACTCTACTTGTGAACAAGATTTAGGTGAATATAGAGAGCCTTTTAATTATACCCGAATTGAAAAGGAATCATGGATCCTGGCTAACGGAAGCAGAATTCAGAGGGAAAAAAATACAAAAAAGTAGATAAACGGCTGTGTTTGCATCAGTCTTCTGGGGCGACAGCATATTGTGTGGTTGGGGTTTCAGAAGGTCGAGGACAAATTGCAGTTTTGTTAGCTTACACGATGCAGAAACCGTTAATTGAAGCAATCTTGTTGGAGTATAAATGCGAACAACGACGACATAAAGTAGGAATGGTGTTTGATGGGCTAAAGGCCATATCGTGAGGAAGGACGCAAGTTTTAACGCAATCTGGGAAGTGTGTAAGACAGCAAGTCGCATCTTGCGGTTTGAATGAGAGAGATGGTCTCTGGGTATTTACGTAACCAAACATGACGCATAAAGTCACTCTTTCAGGTCTTCTAAGTAGTCCATGTTCTGCAGCAATTACTTAATCAACAATACTTGAGACCTCTTTACATCTTTATTTGGCCCAACTTTCAACCAATCAAGGTATAGGAAGTTTAACTGATTAAAATTAAGCTTGGCCTCATTGGCCATTAAGTGGGTTTCATTAGGCAGCTTATGCCAATATGCGTTTCTGGAGAATATCGAAATTGTTGACCGGTTACCGTTGGTAGTCTAGTAATTATCGTCAAAGACTGGCCTATTTAATCGACAAATGAGCGCTTGACTAGACAAAGTAAAATCACTACCTTCGTTACTTCTTTTTCTTTCCTTTTGAGCCTTTAGATCCTTTCGAATTCTTTCCGCCTTTCGAAACCTTGGACCCTTTCGAGCCCTTGGATCCCTTTCCTTTGGGAGACTTCGAGCTCTTTCCGTCTTCAACAGGCAGATCTTTCTCTCTGGTGTGCTTCTTGATCCAGTCCTCGGGGAGGAGAATCTCCGGCGGGATCGGTTCCCAGGTGTCTTTTACGACACACAGGCAGTACTTCTCTGGAGTTGGTGGCTTGCCAAGATTCGGCATCAAGGGGTCGACAATGGGGCGAAGAAGGACGTTTTCTAAGCACAAATAGGTGTCGCCATACCAACAGAACTCAGTTCGGTCGCCAATCAGATGAAGAGAGTTTCTGTGGCGATCCACAATTGCTGCAGTTCCGTTCTTGGCCAAGGAGAAGTACCCGGGACGAATGCGCTGATAAGCATCAATTTTCCATGACCCTATGTAGCAAGTTTCACCATGAGGTAGCGATGGAATCCACGGACCTTTGGGAATTTTTTTGATGTTGTAGACGTGGAAGATTCCTCCCTTCGAGTCATTTGCAACCATCAGACCAAACGGATCAAGTTGAATATCAAAGGGCTCCCCAAAAGAGAATCTATCAATGCCAAAGTTGGCGAATAGAACAACTTTGATCTTATCAATTCGATCAAACAGGCGGTCGTAGTGAAGGTAGAAGGCTTGGATTCGGTTTGGCCGAGTGGCGGCAACAAATAAAACGTCTTCAGACATGGCACAACCTCCGGAAGAAGCCAAATGAATGCATGTCCTCTCGTCTGGGTAATAATTTTCCAATTTAAAGTCAAACGGCGCGTAAGTGTGTGGATGAAGAAATAGTGACTTCTGCAAGGGTTCAAAAATTACGCAAATGGCTTTTCTGTTTGCACAGATACCGGTGGGCGTGGATTCATCTAATAGATCAAAGTTTCGTGGTAGTGGCTGGTTGGTATCTGGGTTTATAGTGGTTGGAATCGTTGCAGGATCTACGGCGTTATAGGGGTATTCAATCTTGTGCTCCTCGGCAAACGTCTCCGGATTGTAGAAAGCGATGGCACTATTTTTCACCGTTGGACAATTCAGGATCACTGCAACACGACCCGTGAGTGGTATTTCAATCATCATTTTCGGTTCACCTTTAGTCACGATTGGCGCTCCTAGCGAGGTGAAAGTATTGTTCACTGGATCGTACTTGTACCTAGAAATCCGACGATTCGAGAATTCACTGACCCACACATCACCCCAACTAGTGCATAGCGGACAGGTGGGGGACCATGAAAATTCTCTGTGTTCGAGGGTAGGACGGTTTACGTAAGGGTACCAGACCTGCCGCCGCATGTAGGAGAGGAGGGTGGGTTTCGGCGGTTTAGGTGGTGGCGGGGGGGTGGGGACACGCACATACTTGAAGGGCTCCTCTGAGATGTCGGATTTTCCCTTGCCTTTGCTGCCTTTACTACCTTTGCTCCCCTTGTTTTTACCCTTACTGCCTTTGCTTTTAGGGGACTTCGACTTAGATCCCATCTTCGTGGCCGATCAAGGTCACGCCACTAGCCCACACCGAGATCATGCAATATTGATCGCCATGGTGTCGCCATCACGTGAATCAGCGGTGATTTTGTCGTTTGAATAAGCTCGCCATCTTACTGTTTTAAGGTTTGTTTTTGTAGAAACGCCACAAATTCACAGTGTGCAAAACACCTCGCTTTTATGAAAATCGAGATTTTGGAAATGCTTAATGAAATGTACTGACCCTTTAAACATTCATTCATGATAAATATATAAACTTGGCTAAGCTTTATTTGCATTGCAGAGCCGGACAAATTGAAAAGCCCATAAACTGCAAATAGCTTTTCCGAAAACGCACATATGTGAGCTAGGGTGCTAGTCAGACTCGGGCTGCATTACTCGTTAACCGACCTGTCTAAAAGTCGACCATTTCACCAGTATGAATCAAACCCACAATACCACAAACTAAGCCAAATTTGCCCGCGTGATTTAATGATCCACATGCTAAAGTTTAGTCTGACTGTGCAATCACATCTCATTTTAACCGTTGAGGGTGGTCCACATGATCACTGTGGTCCGCAACGGTAAGGACATGCTAAGCAAGCGAATGTCATATGCTAAGTTAAGTCTTGATGCACAAATTTTAGAGCTGAAGTGGGAAGGTCAAGCCTCAGCGCAGTGGGTAGCGAGCCATTCGAGTAAAACTCATGCAAGGACAGCGGTGGCCGACACTAGTTTACCTGGATCTTTATCACCAGTAGTCTTGAAATTTAACTCGATTTCTGAATACAGAACACAAACACGCATCTACTGAACATTCTGACCAGCCGCCTACAATGTCAAAGACGCAAGCGCAGGTGGTTCAATTTGCTTTGACGACAATTTAAAACTGGAGTTTGTAGTGGCGTGGTACAAAGCCCCCTTCCATTGTGGACCTCGCTGCCTAAGACACTTCACGAAACCAACCCCAAACGAAAAGGGCAGTGAAGAAGAGCATTTAAGGCATTTTTGAGAAAGGCTACGGGATAGAATTCACAAGTATGCAGTTCCGTGGCTGGCTGGCTGGCGGAAGGAAATGGTCTTTCTCGAGTGCAGAAAAAGATATTCACACGTCGTAGATGGCGATATTATGACAATTTTCGGGGCTTTTTGCTCGATCGGAGTGACGCAGGGGAGCGGGGAGAGCGCGATCGATGCGACTTTTCGATGCTGTCTCGTGACTCGAATTCTTCACCAGTGACACATCTTTTGCGCTTTTTTGACGAAACCGCAGCAGACGACGAGGTGGCACGAGAAATCTGTTTTAAAAAAAGGACAAGGAATTCATTGAATAAGTTCTGTGTGGAATAGCTGTGACAAGACCCAAGCTAAATTATCTTAAACCAGGTCAGCATGCTAGGCCGCATGCATAAAACCTAGAGGCAAGAGTTGCCCGCGGTTGCAGCACGTGACGTGCTGACCACGCCAGTCGGCGTGGTCAGTTTGATGCCCCAAATGGGGGGCTAGAATGGGCTTGTGTTGTGGCATGATTGTTTCAGTTCATCCTAAACGTTTAGCCATGTGATCCATTATAGCATTACGAATCTGTACATACGCATCCGCGGTGGGGAATCAAGGTTTTATTTCTAAAAGGTGGATTGTACGTGCTGCTTGGAGCTTTAAAAGATAGGAACCTTAACATGTGATCAAGCAATGCTGATCCGTAATCGATGATGTAGCAAGTGCCCAGTACCACATTTTGAACGAAGGTTATGAAGAAACAGAACGACAGACAGGTCTTCGTGGGTAAAGCTCAATTTGGTGGTGGGTTGTTCGGCATTTTGACAATGTGACACGACAGGTCAACGGACTGGAAAGTTGGTCAGACTACACCGCAGCGAATATAAGTTATTTCCAATATCATAGAGCAGGTTTACGTAAATAACACGTTATGGTCTACTTTCGTGCAACATGGTCTGCGTGATACCGGGTGGGAAGGACTTCGACCAGTTAATATGACAAACAGCCTATCAGGAATTCAGACACAAGTATCTTCGGTTGGCGGACGATGGTGAGTGCCAGAATCGACAACGGGGGAGGTGCATAGAGCGCTGTAAACAACAGCCCGGGCCGAAACTCGTGAACAAGGTGCTCCACCACCCAGTGAATACAGGTAGTTGAAGGTAGCTTGAAAGGGTCATTTGTCACTGACACTGACAAGTTCTGTCACAAGATTCGACGTACTACTAATACTTCTTCCTCCAGAAGACGATGTGGATAATGAAAGCTTCAACAAAAGGTGACGACTACATTTCAATCAGTATGTCGAAGAACCATTTCAGGACGGCTAGGGACATCTAACGAAATCTACCGCAGTTCTGGCGGACGCTTATCCAAAGACGCAAGGAAACAATGGGACTGAAACAGACGTCGGCGGGCGAAAGACTTCAGTTATTGAGAAAGCAAAGAAAATTGGACGTTAGATTTGTCGGTACCATAAAAAGTGAGCTTTCCGGACGGCAAATGAGTCAAATCACCGTCCACGAGAATTGATCTTTAAAGGCAACCTATAACCTATGAGTTGCGAAAAGCCGTGAAACTCATTCCTTCAGATTCCACAAATAACACGACTTGAGAGAGCAAATCATGCAAAGTCGTTTCAAGGTAAATCGTTGTGACAACTTCAAAACACCCCATCAGAAGAATCAAGCAACCATCGGCTAACAACTACAGCCAACCGGGTTAAGGAAAGTGGCAGATTATCTGCAACCAGGTGTGACACTCCAACACTACGCAATGCCTCTGATTAACGCATTTCTCTAAAGACCTGTGGCTCACAATGACGATGAAACGAATGTGCTCATCAGTAGCCTGAATGAGTAAATGGCAAATAAGATATTTCCTCTGATGATAACTCGGTCACGAGTTGAGATTTCGAGTACTGGGAGGTCGTGTAACAGCAATTTTTTTTTCATTCATTCACGACTACTGGCCCACGCTGGAATTAGCTGCCGGTAAACACACCCAACGAAGCGAAGGTGACCAGATGAAAGGACATTTCCCACATCACAGAAACAGATTTCATTAAAAGTTACCGTTTGCGAGGAGCAACTGGGTTGGTGTTCACTATCCGAGGGGCTCAAATTCCGCCTTTTCTTTTTGGGAATGGGGACTGGATCGTCGGTGTCAGTCTTCGCTGTGAAGACCTAAAATACCGCATAGGTGCACTGTTAGGCCTGGTTCCGAATTCGCTAATATTTGTGCGGTAATACAAAGTCAACATTCTCCCTCACGATATGGCAAATAGTTTGAATATGGTGTGCTTAGGAAACAAACCTAATCCATAGTGCCAAGCATAGACGACAATGCACACAAGTGTACGTAATTCTTTTCAAAAACAACCAGCGTTCTGGATCGCTGTCTACAGCTGCTTGGGAAGAGAAAAAGACTCTTGCAGTTAGGCCGAGATCACACCTCAGCCACCTTGCCGGACCTCACAGAAAACGCCTGCTACGAAATCCACGACCGAGAGGTGAGGTGGCAGGAGGCACGAGTCAGGCCAAAGGACACTTGGTGAAAGCCATGGACGACTTGCAAACAAATTTGCCTTTGATTCGAGTTAAGCTAATTGGAAACTGCAAGTTGACTCTAAGAGAACACCACAAGCTGAATTACCACAATGATTGTCTAAGCAAAATTCCCAGCGCTCATTGCTTAGGGACGAAGCACTCACAGGGGACCTCTTCTTCCGTGGGTGCTTCTTTTTGTGGTAATTCGTGATGGTTGGTGATGATTGGATGTGGTGGCTGCCATCAGCGCCGAGAGCAGAAGACATCCGACTCGGGGACTCCAAGTCGGTCTCTGGCCTTTTCATTCGGCGGAAGACGAGTTTGCCTGTACTGTCATTGCTTGTGGAGTCGACCGACCAATCAGAGAGACCCTACATCAAAATGTAGGTAATGGAACTCGAAATAGACCAGACACGAGCATAAAATCTGAAGCTAGTTGTTTTGGAAAAAAATGAATCTCGCTGCGAAGAATTCAAATAGGTCATAACGGTTAGCAAAATAAGGGGTTGAAACGACATAAGTCAATCAGTCAATAGTTGTTAACGCTTTCAAAATCCACGTTAGCCAAAACTACGGTTACAGTTTCTACAAAACGGCAAAACGACGACTTCGTATTGAGTGCCATCTAATATCTTCAAAGGTGAAACAATCATGGAAACACAACATATTCCGAGCGTTGTGTAGCAGTCATGATACAGGACGGCTGAAATTTGACACATTGGAAGAAATCTAACACAAACACACAGAAACCTTTAAGACCTTGCACTACAGCCAAAAAATGTTGATTGCCCAACTCAGCTGTCTTGCCAAGACGTGTTGCCTTTTAGCTCAAAGTAGTTCTACGGGATCTCATTTGACCTTGGATGATACGAGCTATGTCGGTTTTGCAGGAAGTGGCTGTGCCAGTACATTAAGATCGGCAAAGCAAAGGAGATAATGGAAGCGGTAACCTTGAGCAGAATCACCTTGCGTGGATTTAGGTTCATGCAGAGAGGAGGCATTCTCCTGCGGTCAGTTTATTCAGATCACATTCGATCACCGCTTTCACCAGCTGCGTTTGACTTCCATCCTCACATGTGACATTTATCTGTTGGTCTTGATTTATCATTTGTTTTAATAAACTGGTTTCGTTGGAACACTATTCAAATTACCAGCTGGCATTAAGTGGCCCTGTTTGCTGTATACAGTTGCAGCTTGCTCAAATACATATTGTTTAGCAAAACCTGCATAAAAATTAAACGTTCCGGATTGTCTTTGTTGTCCTCCCATTCCAGCAAGCCTGCCTGATAGTGCTTACACCACAAAAATACTTGCATGGAGTTTATGGACAAACAACAAGACTATATAAGTCAGTAAGAGCTACATCAGCCTTGAGTCAAGTGTGCCTGGGGATACGAAAAGGCCAAATTATTGGGGAACAGCATTTTATACGCGATCAGTGGATGGATTGTGATTCACAGGAGCTTACACGTGAGCTGTCGTCTTCAAACGCACTGAGTTGCAGCCTTCCGGAGTCGAACTTGGTTGGTGTGAAGAGAGCCTGTATAGAAAGGCTGATCGATTGTCGGGCGACAGTTGAAGCCCTTCGGGGGGAGCATAGGCGGGAGGGGGCCGGGCCAAGGTTTGGGGGTTGACGCAACGGCAACCTAGGCAAAGCAGTCATCTTTTCGGGAGAAGATGCCTGTCCCACATAGGTGTCCTCCTCTGACATGCGCAGTGTCGAACCACTCTCGACCTGTAGTGAAGGTGACAACGGAATCAGGTATTTAGCAAATTTGCAAAGCGTGCATAACAGTAAAAGTGCTCCGACATAGTATGTGCAGAAATGAAGTAGTACGTAGGTAGAACTGCAGGCTCACAGACGAGAACAGGGTGGCTTTATAACGCTTTTTAACCTCGCTATGGCCTGAATTTCCAAAGCATCCAAGCGCGAACAAGTGGCAAGGTAAAAATTCTAGTAGTCACTCCCGTCCTTCCATTTCCACAATACTCAGAGTATGCTTTCGGCAAATGACCTCTATCCATCAATTCCACAACTGTCTCTCCCTAACATACTACATGGGCCGCCAAAACAAGTATTTGCAACAGAAGAACATCACAAACTAACCTTACCTACTTCATACTTCAAAAGTGTGATTATACGCATGAAGGGGTCTGAGACGGGGTAACGCAAGGGGTCCAACTTACCTCCGATTGATGGAAGGAGTCCTCAAATTGGGGGCCTAGTGCTTCGGAAATGTTCCCAAACTCTGCTTGAGCTTCTTTACTTCCTTGGTCGAGTTGAGAAATAACCGGCGACTGCTCGTGACTTTCCCCGCGTTCCACAAGAGAACCATGTTCATGTCCTTCATCCGTCAGATCCAAAATCACGACTTTCCTCCTTCTGCTTTTGGTTCGGGGTATGGGAGAGCCCCCTTGACGGAGGGAGATTCGGGAGGGCGGGCTGCTTGATGCCGACTGGTCATCCTCCTCATCACAACCAGAACCACCTTCTGTAGTGCCAGGTTTCTTCGAAGCAGGCGGAGGAACCTCAGGCGGTGAGAGGGCAGCGGAAGACCTTGAGAGAGCACTTTTATCGCTTTTATCATCTGAAGCTTCTAAGTAAGTCTGGAGCTCACTGCTGATTCCAACTTTGTCGTCGTCGGGGGCAAGTGGACTCCTTGTTAGCTGAAGGCACGTGGTATCCTGGAAGCTTTGTCTGGTTGATCGCACGAAAGAGCTTACCTCCTCATCACTTAGATCAGAAGGCCTTGGGATGTCAGACCAAGGTAATATGTGCGATTCAAGACCCCCGTCCTTCTTAACTAATCCTTCCGCCGAAGGACCACCATGTAAAATGCTTATTTTGGCATGGGATTCAACATGTAGGTTAGAATCATGTGAACCAGACTTGGGAGACAGCAACTTGGTAGTTTGAGGTGGTGATCCTTTAAAAACATTGTCACCAATTTGTTCATCGTCAGATGTTCTGCAAGGAGAAACCTCATTCTTGAGGTTTTCAATAGGAGTTTTGCCTACAACAACTCCATCAAGAGGAGCCTTGCTGTGGCCAGTGCTTGGGCTAGTGCGTTGTTCGAGGTCAACTGCACGGGAATTCGGTGAGAGTCGAGCGGCTGCAATGTCCAATGCCGCATCGACTTCCGGCACGCGGTCCGGCTGGGCTGGGGATCCACTCTGGGTTGGCTCGGCGAAGTCCTCGTCGTCTAAGTCAACCACAGACGATAAGAAGTTGTGTGAAGGGTTGCATCCGAGACCATCACAAGTAACTTGGGCGCCGAAAAGGACTGTGAGCTAAAATAATGCAATAATGAATGATGAAAAAGACATGAGGGGGACTCATCAGGTGGCGAAAGTCGGAATCAAAGGCAACCCAAATTGGAGTCGGCTGGACTGGTAAATCAAGGCCCTGTTTATTCAAAGCTTTATCCCATCTCAAAACGGGATTACTTTAAATTACTTACTTTCCTAACTCTAACCGGCATGACAAGACACAGCAAATAAAAACCCAAAAATCCCATTACCATAACACCGATCACGCCAAGAGTTTTAAGCCACCGATGAAACAAATTTTAGTGAGTTTACTTCCTCGTGGTCATTTGTGGGAACTGAATGAGCCTCAAAGGGTCGACGTGCATCCCCGAATAACGGCGAAAGATGCCTCACGAGGCACACGGACAGATGACGCCTCGGAAAGAGACCAGTGCCAGTACACGCGGACTCGCCCACTCAAAGTTTTGGCAGCTCAGTTGATATGAACGCACGACGAATAAAGCAGAAATTTCGGATTGCATATCATTTAAATGGTCACAGACTACAGAAGACCTGGCAGCTATTTGTGAACCATTAAAATACTTCAACAAATGAAATCCGTCCCTGTGTAAAGTCGGAGTTACGTTTAATTTCGCTATCAATTAGCATATCACATAACACACTCTGACCTGATGAACACAAACTGAATCTATCTTACTTCAAGCTCAGGCAGCAGCATCGTGTCACCAACAAAGTTCCCACGAAAATACCACGAGAGTCAGTTTGTGTGGCGATGTCTACGTAGTAAAGTGGGACATGCTGCTATGGAAAGACGTGGCTTATTGTGACCCGCACCGATGGCCAGTTGTGACCTCTTAAAGAATTACCAATTGTCCGTTGACTTAAGCCGTCAAGCAGCGAACTCTAAAACCAAACTTTCGAATCCCCCACAAACTTGCAAAGTGAAAGCAATTGTTAGTTCGATTATCGATATCGCAAATACATTCTTGTCTGAGCATGATATCTGTTTCAATACAGACAAATGACATTTCGTGACCGGAATAATTACCGACCTAACTGAGAGAGCCCAAAGAGCGTTGTCGACGAGTGAAAAGGAGTCAAACGTCGCTCTTAAGTGGTGGGCATTTCTCTTCTAGTTAAGACCAGAAACTATTTTCGGAAGAAACAGGAACAAAATTTTCGACATTGGCAGGACCGACTTCCCCTCATCACCCAAATAAGGTACCCTGGAAGGCGCGTGAACATTTTTTCATCGAAAAAAATAGACGTGTAAAGCCATACAAATAAGAGGTGCAGAACTCGAGATCTTCAAATAACACAGAGAAACATAGCACAGAAACAAGGACATGAATTTAACGGGCGCGGCAAACAGGACACGTCCATGTGTGGACTTTCGGAAGCTGACGAATCTGTGCCAATTCCATTTGAGAACAGCTCGCATGAATCCAAAGGCGACAACTCGAGCAACGTATGCTCCAAACTTTGTAGTTCACATTTTCACCGCAAATACCACAAGGAAAGGGAGGATTTGGTGACTTTTGTTTGAGGGAAAGTGAAGTCGCCTTATGTTCGCTCGATCGGAAGGACTTGGGCATGTCAGCGGATGCCGGACCGGAGTAGCTTCTCTTCTTTGCTCTCCGCAGACTGCGTTGATCCGCTGTTGGTAATGCGCAAGATGGGAGTTTTGTGACATCAGAAGCCGCCACTGGAGTGGAAGATGACGGTTCAAGGCCTGATGGATGCTGGTGTGTTTGGGTTCTGGTGTCTCTGGTGCGATCTGACATCTCGCCGTGCTACAATGACCAACAAACACGTGGGTTTTTAGTAGGCACAAGTTTTACGTGGAATGCCATACAGATCGCACCAGGGACACACACACGGAGTGGAATCCTAGTTCTACGGTTCTTTACTTCGTTATTCTTTTGGATGGAAGAAGGAACTTCCCATGACAGTACATTGTCGATTGGATTAAGAAAATAAGTAGCCGAAATTCCACAGCAGCTCGAAGGAGGAAGTACAGAAGGTGCCTCAAAAGCATGTCTTGACGACTCAATCTAGGCTCTAATTCGAACCTTGCGAAGGGTAGACGACTGGTGCGGGAGAACAGTCTTGAGGACATAAGGTGGGACGCAAACGAGGTAACAAAGGGGACGAACATCGACCATATACCATTAAGTTTGGTTCAGTAGAAATAGGAACTGTGTGTGAGCGGATGAGCAGAATAAGGTGACGTTTCACTTGAAAGATGCAATTCCCTTGGGAGCGGAACACTAGTGAACTCATTACGGTGTCAGTCCAACTTACAAGAACTAAATGGGTTACACGCAGATGAATAGACTTTGAGGCAGATCGCAGATCGCTAATGTACCCAACAGTAGAAATGAACAAAACGTTTGCTATATTGTTGGGCCGATGATGGAATTAGAAAGGAATGACCGGATAATCGCTGGACAATGGGAAACGTATAATTTATAAATAACTAGAATGGTTTTAGTGCGTGGAACAAATAAGCAACGTTGAGATTCAAAATTTAAGTTGGAAATACTTCCTAACACAGCCGTTGCAGGGTCACAAATCAGCCCGTCATATTTGTAACTACAGTTCAAGTGTGAGGCGTAGCAATGGGGCCAGGGGGCATACGCCGGCACATCCATCTTCGCAGGGGTATGCAATGCAAAAGAGGCCAAACCCCAAACACCCACCTGCAACTGAAGATGTAATGGTAATTCGTCGGGGAGGTGGACACGATGACAATTGCCGCATCGTCTACGCATCTTTGGAAGGATCGGTGAAAGATTAGTGGGTGGTGGCTTCTTCAACCCAGATCTCTTTGACGGAGAAACTGTTGGGGACTTGACCGATAGACAACCGATAGCTTGCTGCCACCCTTTCACTCGATCACTTGGAGGTGACTGGGGGTCTCCATCTGCAACCGACGCCTTTTGGCTCGGGCTCGCTGCAGCCCTAGCATCGCCAATCAGGGGCAGGCAAAAAGAGGGGCTACGGGTAAGCGCTGGATTGGTTGGATCGGGATCCCCTGGTTCCAAACGAAAGAGAGGGCTGGGGGCTGTTGATTCGATGGGAATGTTGTGATCATCCCTACGCACATCTGAAATCGAATACTTGCATTTAGCACATTTGCTAATTTAAGCAACTCGAAAAAACCGCATTAGGTACCCAAGAAAGAGGCCACCGGATCAATCATTAAAAGACTTCAAAGACACAGAGGAGCGTTACCAATACGGGATTATGATACAACTGAAGGCCATCGAGTCAAGATTGACTAGAAGCTCGAGAGGTGCCGAGGTGGCACTGATTTGTATGCGGCTCGTTTGGATCGCGTTAAAACCACATCATTGTGACCCTCTCGCATAACTATGCATGGCATAAGATCACGTCTAAGTTACTTTGGTTTGGTAGTGCGAAATTTCTTAATGTAAAGAATGCACTTTACTCACCCAGATGTTTTTCTTTGCAATTTTTCCAAATAACCTTTCGCTGCCATTCTGGCAGCTTCACAGTTAAGTTCACAAGTAACTTCGGGTTCTTATCAGCGAAAACCCTTAAACAAGTGTAATATACCAGATTGCCATCCTTAGTGCGTGTTTTGCCATTCAAAGTCGAAACAAATAATAACCTGAAAGTGCAGGGTAACGGCTACATGCACCATCACGTCCCAGTCTGACTTTAATATTTTTTCACTTCTTTCCAAATTAATGCGAGGTTCCGCATTGCCTTTGGTGACACACGAATCCTTTGCGATTCACCAATTCAAATCCAATTTCGCTACTTGCGGACAGTAAGCATCTGAACTGATCGCTTGATATGCTAGAAGTAGCTTATAAACACACCATCCTTGTAATTCCAAAAAAAAATTGGCAACACGAACTTTTTGGTGTGGTTTGTACTGATCAAATACGATTAATCTATAATCGATTTCGGCCGATGTTTTTGCGGATGATACACTTTTAAATCATCGTGCTTGAAGTGCATTTAGCGGATATTTAGTGGTTGCGGTGGGTGAATGATTTTATAAATTTTGGGAGACCAAGTTGTACGATCAAGTATAAAAAGACAAAAATCACGCCATCTACAAAAGACATTCAGACCCAACGCAACGTCATTTGCGCGCCAATCCATACCACCAGGCTAAGAGTTTAAACCTACGAGTCGGGCATGATGAAGCACATTCTCAGTGAATTAAGGAAAACAGAAACGTCCCTTTCAGACTCAGAAAAGCAAGCACTTTTTCGGAGGACGACTCGGAATCGGAAGAACCGCACAAACGACTGGACACAGAACTTTGGCCTAATTCGAAGACAACGCGTTTCAGTGGGACAGCCGTTAGCAGCTTGAAATGCGGCTGCGTCTGCCAGTCCCCGGGACGATAACGCAAATATCGAGGACATTTGGGACCGCGTGCAGCACACTCGAGGCGGAGAAAACGTAACTTGTCAACACACCTAGACGACTGCACGGGTACCTGCAGTCAATGTGGCAGCACCAACACAACCCACACTGACGTCTACATTGGCTGTGCTGGTGAGGACGAAAATTGTCTCCACTAATTAACGAAAACGAGTTCTCTTGAACCCACCTCATGTGTGGTGACTGGTTTGACAGTGCATTTATCAGCCATTTGTGCCAGCGTTTAGAGTGGCGTGTCGGAGGAGTTGTTAAACAGGAAATGAGAGCGATGTCAAGTTAAGTGTGCAGTGCCAATATGTAAAGTAAGAACGATAATGAGGTAAGACCGCCCGGACAACCATTGCATGGAAGAAGAAAACGGTAAAGGCATCAAGTCAATACATTTTAGGAAATGCGAACGGCAAGAGGTACACGTGTGACCCCCTAGCGCCTACTGAAGACATGAGTTTGGGTGTAGCTTTCTGACTTAACCAGCCCTATTGTCAAATTCGTGCAAAAAATCGATCAATGGAAATCGAAAAAAGAACGGCTTCGATAAGTACGCAACTTAAGAGTGCACAGTTTTGACAAACGAGTGCATTAATTGATTAAGATTATGTCGAACAGGAAAGGTGAACTAATTGTCCTTATAGGAGGTACAATGAAAAAGTAAATTACGAAGACCAAGTATTCGTTGAATTAGCACCTTACCACCAATGGGAATAAGAGGCGGAGGTGGTCGAAGGCAAGGACCCGGTTCGGAAACTTCGAATCCGCAGTCATCAGCAAAGGCTTCTGGTGGAGGAAGTACTATATTGGGCGCTTCTTCGGTCGGGGAGGAACCGGGGAGGTCCGCAAAGCCGGGAGGAGGAGAGAGAGGCTCGAGGGAGAAGACGGTGGACACCAAATTGGGCACGAATTGAGTGGTGGGAGACGGCAGAAGGGACGTTGATTTTGCGCCAGTGGGAACAGCGTCGTTCGGATTCCCGACGTCACTCTCATTCTCTGGATCGCTGAAGAGTTGGGGAGCAGCAGTGTCGTTTATCGCGTAATCTTGGGGAACCGAAGGAGTTGGTGGAGGTGGAATCAAATGAAAGTCTGGCATCATTTCGTTTGGGTGCCTAAAAGAGGGAAATCAGGAGACTTGATTAAATGGGTCTAGCCTGGTCCAAATTATTTACTGAAAAGTGCATTGCGAGCTCATTTTGTGACACGGTTAACCAGATTAGTGAGTAGTCAGCTTCGCACCTAATTTGAGCGATTGTGAACGGCAACCGCAGTACAAAACCTGACCGCAGCTGGTTAATTTAAAAAAAAATTGAATAAAGGGTTTCTTGAATTAAAACCCACAATGTTGTGCAATTAAATGGCTAGATAAGAAAACAGGACGAATACCCTTTAGCCTCCGAGAAATCGGGCAGCTTGACGTACTTCACTGTTGACGGGGAAGTTAACAGTAATTAAGTTTACATCAAACCAATTTAGATGACAATACCGAGAAACGTTTACACGTCACAACCTCTTGTTATACGGACACAGAACTCCGCGCAAAAGGATCCCGTCTGGTAAGATTTACTTGCTGGCGCTGACGGGATAAGGCGCAAATGAGACCGATTCCCAAAAGCCGGGTTTTATTTAAACTCACGATTACACCAACGTAATGAGTTTAAAAATAGCCTCAACTGCAAAGCGATGTGGTGTTAGCTTCTGCTACGTACGACCACGCTTCCTTCGTTCTCAGCAGACAAATTTGTGCCAAAGTAGCAAGTTCTGTGGGATACCATACAATTGTCACTTCAATGCGAAGAGCAGCTATAGCGCAAATAACCTGCCAAAAAGGCAAGGAGGAACTGCCCACATTTTGTGTTTGGCTAAGGGAAATGAATGGAGTAAGGTGACTTCGAAACTAGTCTAGTCTAGGCCTTTTAGGTGGTGGTGGTGGCATGGAAAGATTTCTATGATAAAATCAGCGCAAATTTGGTCCCCGAACTGAAGCGCACGTTTATGCTTGAAGCACTACACATAAAATTGAGCACTTGGGAATCAGGCTGCATCAATAACTTGCTTAAACTCAAAATAGGTGTTATCGTTCCTATGCTCCTTTCATGAAGATGGCTCGAAAGGCCAATTTACATATTACTCTCGAAACTACCTTTAGCATTCAACGCTTAACTGCCTTGTTAATACGACAAAAATTTGTCAGTTTACAAGGGCGCTACTCAAAATTCGCACAACGAAACAGAATTCAGACAGGTCAGCTTCATTTACAAGCCTGGACTCATGAAGTATAAAGTTTCGTCTCAAACATATCAATTGTACCGAGGAGTTTACTATGGGGTAGAGGAGGGCGTAAGAACTAATCCCCAGCAATGAAGGATGTTGGGTAGTAAACGTCCCAACCAAGTCATTAACAAGCTGCCCCCGTGTCAGTGGGTATGCTGACATTTATCTTTCAAAGCACTGTCAGAGTGAAGGACTGAGGCCTACCTTCACACACATTTATGCTCACTTTAGGAATTAAAACGAGACACGTAGACATTAAATAGCATTAATTGCCTCCATTTAATCTCGAAATGGCATGCCATAGGGACCTAGTTCCTGTGGATCCAATTTAATTGTTGCCATTTTTTCCTTCAAGCTTAGAATTGTATTTATAGTAGAAATATTTCCGCGGTCTTTTGTGATTCTGAGAGGATCGGAATAGCAAAGTTTACGATGATGGCAACTGATCAACAGCAGATCCGATGGCCCTGCACTTTATACAATTTCCAACAAGGAAAAAATATCTATAAAGCACGGGAGTCAACTTGTAGTGTTCTTCGTGCCGAAGTTGTGTCTTATGGAGCGTGCAATTGTTGGTGGAAAAGTTTTTGGAGCAGTGACTTCGACCTTAGTGACCAGCCGCGACCGCTTAGCAGCCTCGAAAGTTTGACGATGCGGGATTGCAAGATCTATTGGATGAAGATTGAAGACAAATGCAGAAAGGGCATGCAGCTCAGTTAGGAGTCACCCGAACAGGTATTTTTGAGCGTTAGCACCTCTGAGTGGGAAAAATAAAAAAAAACTAGAAATTTGGGTCCTCGTACATGTATTGACTGAACACGACCTAGGTCAACGTTTGAACACATGGCTTTCATTGCTTGCCCGCCGACAACAAAAAAAGGGATTCTTGTGGAAAATTGTGGCAGTCGACGGAGAGCATATTTTCTACGAGAATTCAACACGTGGGTAGATCCCGGACAACCTAGCTAATGGACGCTGAAACAGGGCATCCACTTGAACTCTCGGAAACTGGTCTGACGATTACTGCGCAACGCTACAGCGAAGAGGCAATTGATCAGAAAATGCCATTTACTGGACAAGGAAGCAGGCAAATCATATTACTGCCGCATGACAACACTGGACCTCACGTTGCTCGCGAGACCCAGAAAATCCTCTTAAACTTGGAATGGGAGGTTCCCCCACACGCGTTATTTCCACCAGACATGGCTCCATTTAACTACCGTTTGTTCTGGTCAATGCAGCAGCACGCCTTAGTGGACGAACAGTTCAAAACGCTGGAAGATGAGCGTGAATTCGTTGATGATGACTTTATTGCTTCGAAGTCTGCAAGCTTTTTTCGCGATGGCATTCTTGCGTTACTTGAGAGATGACACAAAGTCATAGAAAACGATGGACAATATTTCCAAGATTAAGTTTCTTGTTCTGCACTTTTTACATTAGATGAAGTTGCTTAAAATCTGTACAAATTAAGTCGTACACCTAATCGTTCTGACAGCAGCAAGAATAAAATGTTCTCGGGACTGTGTTTTCGACCAATGCGAATCATTTGTCGTCCATTGAAGCCGAAATTTGTGTACGTTTCTACATTACCTCTTTCAAAACAATAGCGAAAATACAAAAAGAACAATTGCTTTCGTGAGGTTAAAGTTTTCTTTGAGTTAAAGCAGTATACTGAAGGTCGGTAATTTTTTTGACTTTTGAGGTTAGTAGTCATTACTACAAGGTCAGTCGCCGTGAGAATTCGCCGTTGATTTATGATACAAGGGAACGTCCTCGTGGCATTTACGAGCGATTCAATCCAGTTGTCCTCAAATGTGGACAAATCGCCTGGAACATTGGCCCAAAATCAAACTTCAACAACGGACATTCATTAAGACAACTCCTGAAGCCGCGAAACCCGTTAAAATGAACGGCGATCAAACAAACTGATCGTCGAAAAGTGCATCATTCCTACCACAAAACACGCGATTTGGTCAGGAACAATGGAAAATCGGAACCTAAACTAACCCTTCACTAGTCTTTTTTTGTGGTGATTTAGGCTCCATAACCGCCTCGGTCGGAGGTAGCGGAACACCGGCGGGTGGTCTAGCGGACTCTTGATTTTCAATGTTGACTGGACTCTGATCAGGTGGCGCGGTGGCTGCTGAAGCAGTCGAATCAGCGAATTTAGCTCGAGCTTTCGCCAAAACCTCCTCCATCGACGGCAATTCGCTAAAAAACTGGTCGAGACTGCGGAAGTTTTCTGGATTCTCCGCAAACTGTGTGTGGTCCTTTCCGTGGATGTGCTGAAATGCCAGGCATAAAGGAAGGTTTAAGCATTCCGCGATATACAATGTGTGTGCAAGTCCAACTTCACCAAGCCTCTTTGCATGTACACACGCTAAAGGATGAAAAGGAGTGCATAGGGCCAGAAACCAATGATAGCAGGTTCTCAATTCTCAACTCAAGCTTTCATTTCGACTGATACCAGGAGGTTGACAAAGGTCTGGGGTTTACAGAGGACATGCGGGTAACTCAACAGATGGCGTGCAATAAGATGGGGCAGACTCGAAGGGAAACACGAAGGCCGACTCTTCAGCAGGATTAACGATATCCACTTTTGAGTGCCTAAGGGGCTAAATGAAATCTTGAAATGGGAGCCCTTTTGAGAAATAAAACACTAAACAGGTTTTAGATGACAATTTAACCAATCCACAGTTTGCAATTTCGCTATATTACTTTTGGACTCCTGGTAATTAAGCACTGGGACAAAAAAACACGAATGTGTACACGTGGCGCCGGTTCACGAGTTTAGGTGTTGGACAAAGTTTGGCCAAACATTTCACCTGGATGTGCAGGTTGTCGCTACCAAAGTTCCCAACCTTCTTTGCATCGCCTCCTTCCAAGCGACAGCCACTTCAAAATAAAAAAAATCAACGCGCTCAAAAGCCAGGAACGCCTGTAATGCATTCTAAATACATAATCTACAACTCCACAGAGTGCAGTTATGAAGATATGCCTGGAAAGCAGAGATCCCTTTTTTATTAGCTAACCGACAAATACAGATGCGCACCCCGATTTGCCAGTTTCAAGGTCAAAGCGCATCGTCTGGATCGGTCATTTTAGGGCCTGCACGACTCAACAAACACACTTCAGTCACTTTGAGGGGAATTTCCGTGGAGGAATCTAACATGACACGGATGTCTTGTTGAACATTGCTCAATGACGCCTTTAGTCTTTTTACTTAACATACGGCTTCCCCGAAGATTTAAGATTTAAACAAGTTGTAAAGTATACTAGATTCCAACAACAATGAAGACAAAAGGGGGTGTGTTCGTGTTATTGATCTGTTAGGCAGTAGTTAGTGTTTAAGTGTGCCAACGGTAAACTGAAATGAAGCTGCTAGGTGATGACCAAACAAGGAGGCTGGATGAGAAGCATGCGTTACAAACAAAAGTACATCTCTGAATTAAAAACTTACTCATCTACTGAAAAGCACACTAGAAAGACAGGTAAGCACCGGTTGATGATCAGAGGAAGAAGAATAAAGGGATAGCAAACAGACAGGCGTCTTACCTCGTAAAGGTTATTGTAGGAGACCGCACAGCATTCACAATAACCGGATGGCTCGGCAATACCATCGCGAATAGTCCTGAAAAGTGACAAAACAGCGACCTTAGTCAAAAGTTTCCCTAAAACCTAACCTAGGACAGCAGAAGAAAATTAGATACGCCAATTGCTGGACGCAGACTAGAAGTAGCGCTGTCAATAAATACGGAATTACTTTGGTTGTGGCTGGGGCCGTTTTCGTTTCCCAGGGGTTCGTGGCCCAAAGCTCTGCCGACGTATCGGGACCTGCTGGGAGTGCTTTCGGGACCCACCCCCCGGACCGGCCTTAGTGGCCTGAGTGGTGCGCAGGGAGGTGATCTGGTTGGTGGAGGGGTTGTGACCGACGCTGGCCTGAGGCGTGGTGCATCCCTCGGGGGTGGCGGCGGCGGCTGCGGCGCCTTGAGGAGGGCCCAGTGCTGGTGCGTCGCAGACCGATAAGGAGTCCCGAACGCGGTTTAGCTGAGGTGGGGGATTCAAAATGGCCTGCCAAAGGGGTCCAAGGTAATTGGTCTCCTCCATGTAGTATGGTCGTGTCCGCCCATTCAAGTCAACAATTTTAATGCAGGGCGCCGTCAGATGTCGAACTAGAAATATCGGGTGTGTGCACAACAATATAATTTCCCCTAACTATCAAAAGTTCTGTTTTACGCGCCGATTGGAAAGTAAGTTCCCACAAGCAATCATTATAAGTAACGACAACAAGGCGTGGTGGCAATTTGGCATCATTAACTTTTAAATTAAAAATAACTGGATAAATAACGTATTTTCCCTGGTCATCCCATTGGTACCTTGAGTGACGATTCAAATCTGTAATGGAACATTTACGCAACACAAGGATTTTTAACAGGTTACGACACTTTAAATGCCACCATGAAAGAAATGATAAGAATGTCACCGCCTGTGTGGCTATCTGTCCAAAGTTAAGAGATTCAAACAACGGAGCAAAACGACACCCGTTGTAATCAGACTAGAAAGGTTAGTGTCTGCAGGAAACTCTGGAGACCAACTGCTGTTTATACCGGAAATTTATTTACTACGATAGCAGGAATTCACAAAAAGGCAAAGACATTTAACGGTCGGGATTTGAGTGACATGGTTGTCTAGTAAGTCCAGCTTGACTGCAGCTACAAAGGTGTTATGGGCTTGGAGATAATTAGATAAATTGTTAACACACGTGACGAACAAGGTCGTGACAGTTGGGACAGCGCAAAATTCACGACGTGCTTCTTTCGCAAATGCAACTAGAAGAGTAGTGAATGGTCAAAACTGCCGCCAGTGGGGATGCAACTTTTAGAATTAGATAAATTAAGTCACAATAAGTTTAAGTTAATGGGATTAATTTGGGGGCAGGGCGTCATTTACACTTTCACAAGAGTTTTAGCCCTTGACTTAGGGGGAGAGGGTTAAAAGTTAGAAGTCGTCCTCAAGGCTCACCTTGGAAAAGGGGTGGCCAAAGTGCGACAGGGAATAAGGTAAGTGGATGGCCAGAGGTGAAGGCATGAAAATCGAGAAAATGCACGTGGCACAGCGGAATTGATGGTGATTAGGGGAGCCGGTGGGCTAGAGGGGCCGGAAGCACGACCGGCACACGAACAGTAACCCAAGCACGCTTCGTCAATTAGACCTGGCACGCGACTAGAGCTGACGCATCACATAAAGGCCCCGAAACGCGTTTGGGAGTTTCGTTCCAGTGCATACTTCAGCACTGTCTTGGTTTTTACACCAACCACCTTGGCAGTGTTGCCCAAAGTAGATTAAGACGTGTGTACGTGTAATACATTGAACTCGGGCCACTATCACAATCTCCTCCCTTGGGGCACCAAAGAGTACGCGTTTCCAAGAGGTCCGTATTTTGTGAAATCTACCTACGATAAATCACCTTGCAGAGAAAATTCACATGCATACATACATTCAGTCCTTTATTAGCTACTTTTGTATTTTTAGAGGCGTTTATGCCTCTAAACAGCTAACCTTTGGTAACAAACACTACTGACTCGGACATACAGACCCATATGTGGAGGACAAGTTATTAGCCTGCTAGAACACTGGCCTTTCACCGTACTCGATAATATTAACTGGTGTGTCCGGTTGACTTGAGAGGATGGCCGACTTTTCAACCGAAATGAGCCATTTTGGAAGCTTGACGCGATTCTAAGCTAACTCCTTGTGGATGACCCTTAGTGGACGATTTTGGCAATTTTGATGAAGGGAGCTGTTAAAGCCACAATGCACTTTACATTATCAGTATTTAGGTATAAGATTCGAGGTTATTATTCGTGAACCTCGGCCACTGTTATAGAAAGAAGAGGCATCGATCGGAGCTAATTTAATTTGATCAATAAGTTGAACGAGACCAAATTTGGCTAGGTGACAGCCAATGGAAGCGAGAATTGGTATGACGAAGTCGTTCCCTCACGCAGTGGGTTAAGGGGGGAGCGAAGCGGCCTTACCTGGGGCATATGGCTAGGCCGGTCTCCCCTTCACGGCCAGGACACGAAATGGTCACCCGAACACAGTATGCTGATTAAAATCGGCACGGTTATGGCTAAGGCGCCGTGCGAAGGCTTAAACGTGAGCTTCGGCGACCGCACCCTCCAAAACCCTGCATAGCGTTTAGATTGGCCCCAGAAAAACTTTCCCAAAGACAAAATTCCCAAGAAGGCTGAGGCGGAAAAACATTAACTGATTACAGAAATGTTCATCAAACTCACACCAAACATAATTGTCTTTAACTGTCAGGGTCCTAAGCGAAGAAATAATTAAAGAATTCGAAATGCCAAACCAGTAAAAAGAGGACATTATCTGAGAAATGCTTCATTCATAAAAAAATAATTGGTGCCAGGAAACAAGAACTCACCACAACATATTCGGTCGCGTTCGGGATCATCAGGTTCTGGGTTAGCCTCGAAGTCGAGGAAGGGACTTTCACCGGTCTATTCAAACAAGGCATGCAGAGTAAGCACGACGAAGTTTAGTGGTAAATCGGATGTTGAAGGAAGCGCAACTCAACTAAACGGCCTCGTCGACTTTCAATCATGTTCACGCTAACCATGACACTCAACAGAGACAGCTGGTGCGATTTTTATCAACATCACCAGAGCCTTCAGCGCCTTAACCTTTGCTATCCCCAAATACCAGGGTAATCGGAGTTTTGCCATTCTTGCCGATTTACGGAGGCCTACCTCTGGGAGGAGCAGAGGGTTAATTAATTCAAGAAACTAGCAGATAGAGACAATTTTGGCCAATGACATGCTTCGCAAAGTAGATGCTGACGCCACGATGACGTCATGGTTCGGGGTAGATCGGACAATTTAGAGAAATAAGTTTAACAGTAGGTATAGTAGCGTGCGCAACACACGAGGAAAGAAAAAATAAGGAACTGCAAAACTGGGTGCAGCGTTGATGGGAGGTGCTTCCCTATCCCCAAGTTACAATTTCTTACGCTTTCATAAGTAAAATATTCAAGTTGATTTGTCGGCTTAAAATCCTTACTTAGCACCAAGACCCATGTGGCTTTAAAACAATAGATAGATGATTATATCAGTTGCGCATTTCATGGTTGATCAAAAGCGTATATAAGTTTAATACTCAAATTAACACCGATAGTTAACAACCAGCTGAATCACACAATCTATTAGAACCGTGTTTCGACTTTGCTGTTGACTTTCTAAGCATAACTTGGTGCAAAAAAATTAGATGACCGCATACATGAGCGTCACTGATGGACCGAACTCTTCGCAAGTCATATTAGTGAGGACGCATACTACCAATGGTAAGATGCAGGTTCGATTATTTTTAGGCTCTCTTTAAATGCTTGAAAGCGCCATGAATATGGTGCAAATGTCAAATCCGATGCTACTTAATTTACTTGGCCGCCCAGAAAATAGTCAAGAGACCACCATGCCTGTAACTTTAAGCCACTTACTTCCAGTTGTTCTTTAATGTCTTCTGGGAGTTTTCGAATCCACTTCTTTACAGCTGAAATTACGATCAAGACGGTCACTTGAACAAAGATTAAGCCTTGTATTTATAAGACTAAGGGAACAGTAGAAAAACTGGATATTACAACAATTCAGTCAACACAATGTTAATTGTTACGACTTATATCATGCGAAGTAAAACTCGCAGCCGGAAAAATCATGCTAGGCAACCTACCGTTTATGGTTAGGATTTTAATGCCAAATTGTCTTGCTCTCATCAGGAGGTCATGAAAGTGTCTACCCTCCTAAAAACAAACAAAAAAGTTGTTACAAAGGAAATCCGTGATAGTTTTGGTTTAGATTGTCTATTAAACAGAAAGAATATTGATCAGAAATGAACATATTTGTAACAGTACTTGGCCCAAAGCATGTACATTCTATTTAAGGGGGGCGTTAAATTCCAGTTTGAAACATGAAGTTTTCAATCTAGACCTTCATCGTAATCGAAAGAAATAAATGACAACCGACAAACCTTACATAAATCCACATCTCTCAACTAGGAAAGCGAAATGAAAATGCTGAGGCTTGGCAATAATGTTAGCAACAACCTGACTTACAGAAATGGATTGGATAGGTGAAGGAGAAGCGATGGAGAGTTTGGGAGTCTTAGCAGCAGCCAGTAGCATCGCTCGTCCCCGTGTAACACCCCTGGGTTTGTACCCTGCATCTGTAAGTAGGCGCGGTGTAGCCGGTGTATACGGCGACTTCTGTGATTTTTCGGAACTGGACCCTAAAGCTGGATCGACATTTTCTTTGAGTGATTTTTCAGATTGAGGGGTGGATGCCCCAGAAGATGGCGGAATGCGCGACGATGGGACGTTGGTAATCACATAGTCGACTTTCCGATCGAAAAATTGAACGATTTCCTTGAATGAAAATATTGGTCAGAGATTCCATGCATTGTGGGCGTTATACAATATGATGAAAGAAAAGAATTGCTGGCAAAAAGTAGCACACCTTAAAATATATCACACAGATCCTTAAAAGGGGTTGACAAAGAAAGTTTTCGTATCTGTTTTATATTACAAGTGCCCCATATGATAATCGTGAATATGCCAATAAAAACCTACAAACCTACAAGTCCAACATTTAAAGCTGGATTTCCGCATGTTCTTTAAAGAAGCATATGAAAATGTAGTTACTAATATCTACCATATTAATTGAAGTAGAAAATGCTGGATTAAGACCTACAACAGGTTAATAAATGTAGAGCTTTGACGCGAGCAAACCAGTTTGGATGCAACAAATGTTAACGTGAGATTGCCGGAGACATTACTAAAATACATTGCATCTCTAACGTTAAGGAATGCTGCAAGGGTAGAATGACATCGCCCAGTAAAGAATTAAATATCTTGATTATAGAAGGAAAACATACGGCTTTCAGGAGTTGCAAAACTTTCTCCAGGTCTTTGTGAGGTCTTGTTCCTGTCTCATAATGCATGTAAATTTTTTTGCCAAATAAAGGGGCATTCCGACTTCCACTGGCTGTTATTTCCATCTTCAAAAAAATCCCTAATTGTGCCACATCTGAAAGACTAAACCAGGAACGAGCGGCACACGGAGCAAATCATTTGGTACTACATTTATTGGTTGTCTGCTGCTGGCGTCTTTAATTGGATTATATTGAAGCGGTCAATTTGCATTTTTAGTGGTTTACGAACCAAGTTCACGCGTATTAAGGTGTAAGACTTAAGTTTTAGGTTTTACTACGAAAACGCAGGCGGAAATCCTAATTCCATCAATTACAATGACAAAATTTGAGCGGGATGACAACAGTCCAATAATTAAATATACTTGTCATTTTTCGAAGTGTTTTGAAATTTTGTTCCCAATGCAAGTGATATCACCACACGGAAAAGGAATTTTAGTTTAGGTGTATACTTTCACATAGACAGACTAAATATGGTAACAGAGATCTACAATCCCGATTCAGATCTAGAAAAATGTAGCCTATATAGAGAAATGCGTAGCGGGCTAAAGCAGGAAGACGAGATTTACATACCGACAGTAGAAGTGTTTATTTATTGATTTGCTTGCTTTACCACTGTATTTTATTATGAACGGTAAACCATAATTCATTTTCCGTGAATAATTTAAATGTAACATAGGTTAAGGGGTAACAAGTTTACGATCTAACTACGCTGATAAGTTCGAATTCAGTCATTATGCAGAAGATATTAACCCAACTAGACATAAATTAACGATCAACTAATTTGAAAATCCCTTGTATCTTATGAGGAGGTTGTCCGTTATATCTGGTCTGAAAACCTCGGTTAAAAAAACCTCTGCCTTGAAGAAAAGTGGTGCTTTGACCTCTGAGCGTGAGAAATGAATTTTCACACAACCACAGCATCTTGCACAAATATGTTTAATATCATTGCGCTTGATAATTATCAAAAATGTCAACAAATAATCTAGTCTCTTTTGATGAAATTTATGTCCAAAATAGCATGAACCTGTGAAAAAAATCAATTCCCTGGTAGGTTGCGGTAAGGAAACGCCATAGGAGTGTGAGACATCTGATCAAAGTTTAAAAAAGGCAATTTAAGTTTAGGTTGATCCTTCCTAACCAGAGCATTCGTGCCCGTTCTCTACCGGTCTGCATGCGGGAGCCTGTGTGTCCAACTGCAAATTATACTTATTTGGGGTGTTTAGCTTTAACGTCTTATCTTGTTCCAATACTGTTTGTATACGTAAAAATACAATGTTAGTGTAAGAACAATATCCGTTTACCACCAGCAAAAATGGTAACAAGCAAAAATAATAGCAGTCAGAGAAGTAGCAATATCACCCAATCTTATCTACCGTAAATGAAAAAAAAAATAAACTCAAAATGCCTAAATTAATCTAGTTTAGCGTATGGGAAGTAAGACGAATTTCTAAATAATAAATCAAAAAGATTTTTGGAACATCTAATGATACTATTTTTTCAACTCATTGATTTTTGTCCTACTAGTGCATAATACCCTAACCCTATTATGAAGGAGATTGGTTCTGGTTAGCTGCATAATTTCCTCGCATGTCATTTGAACGAAGATAGAAAGAGGATTGGCTGAGGCGAGCGTGAACCAATCTGTCTGCGTCTATATACGCCGCTACATTAGCCCATCATTGTTGCCTATGTAGCCTATATCTTCACTGATCAGAAGCATGGTTGCTCGGATCATCGAAATCAATCTAAGTGACTTGGAGAGCAACCTCCGCCGGGATCCTGAGTCCTACTTACCTGATGTAGTCGCTACTTTAAGTAGTCACTTTTGTAGTTTGAAGCTCAGTATGAAAACTACAGTTCATTGGAAGCTACTTATCTATCAGCGCCTTCTGAATATGTCCCTAAATTAGACGATCTTCTCGTTTTCATTTCACAGGTACTTAAGTTATATGAGTACTAAAAATGGCAAGGTTATACATTTGTTTCCAGTGTATGCTCAGAAGTTTAGTGAAAATGTATCATCGGCTCTCCTGTCTCGTGCATTTGGGATGAATGCACATATGAGAATGGTTTGATCACATGTATAAACAGACATTTTTCAGGCTTATCTTAAAGCATTCATGAGGTTGCGAACAAAAGGTCTCATTACCTTACAGCAAGCTGTTGATGTTGGCTTTCGACTTCACCGATGTCATGACAAACAGCTTCGGAGATTGCTGCGTGGGTTCATCATTGGCGATATGAAGCGTACAAATCTTAAAAACAAGTCTTCAAAAGTCAACACGGTACCAATAATTTTTAACTTTTGCATTCTTGTCAATAGTTGATTCAGACGTTCCTTGCGAAGTCCGTAAATGACAGTAATATGGCTGTGGCAAAAGAGGCAGTGATTCTTCTCGTTGAGCTATATAGAAGGAACGTGTGGAAAGATGAGAAGACAGTTAACATGATTGCTGATGCGTGCCTAGCAAAATCCAAGAAAGTATTCTCTAAGGCAGTCCGATTCTTTCTCGGTCACAATGAAAAATCGGCAGAACAAGATAGTAGTAGTGACAGTGACGATAATGTTGACATGAATACAAGAATCAAGCAGATGAAATTGGGCCATCGTGTTGGAATCAAATCAAAAAAGCGAGCGAAACGTCTTGATCGTTCCATAGAAAATTTAAGACGGAAGAACGAACGGAAGAAGAAGGAGCAAATGCCAACTGGCATCAATGTGCCTGCTCTTAATCTCATCTACGATCCTCAAACCTTCGCTGAACGATTATTTCACAAATTGGAAAAATGTAACGATCGCCTCGAAATTCGACTGCTTTTGCTTGAACTAATCAGTCATCTTATCGGTATCCATCAACTGTTATTACTTAACTTTTATCCTTCCTTACAACGGTTTTTGCGTCCTCAACAAAGAGGCAAGTTTCCTACCCGATTTTTCGAAAGCATGAATCTAGCTTTGGTCCACAGCCAATTACTTTATCCAATATCTTTTCTCCTTAGAAATCACACGTCTTCTATTGTTCGCCGCGCAAGCCAGCCACGATCAGGTTCCGCCAGACGTAAGTATTCATTTAACCTTATTGATTATTAGGCCAATTGTTTCTCAATAAAGCTGCTAATTGTTCAACTTAAATGAGAGCTCTTGCAAACTGAATTTGTTGGGGACGGGAATTTCCTAATTCTTATAGCAATTTCCTGCCAGTTAAGCCAATACTGAGGCCTATAAATCGACTAATAATAAACTCCAATGAGTTCTAAAGATCTGACATTTTGCTAAAATCTGTTTTCTTATTTTTTGAGGCCATTCTTCCTCTAGTTCGTACAATCACCGATAACTTTGTGACGGACCGCGCATCAGCTGAAGCAATAACCGTGGGCCTTAATACAATTCGTGAGATATGCGCACGCTGTCCGTACGCTGTTGATGAGGACTTACTTTCCGATTTGGTTGAGTACAAGTCCTACCGCAACAAAAATGTTGTTGCTGCTGCGAGGTCTCTAATCCGGCTTTATAGGCAGGTGAGTCTGTTCATTAAAGACTGAATAAACCTATGTGTATAGTGTTCTGGAAAAGGTTGACAGAACAATTTTTAATCACCGAATGTTCTTGGAATATAGGTCTGTTGAAGTACGATAGCGTTGTTGTGATCCAAATGGCCACATTAGATTGAGTTTCTGAAACCATTGTGTCTCAACCTTTAGCCAGCCTTGGTGACATCGGTGGTCCATTTGAAGTAGCCTAATTAAACAAAGCGGGCAAATCATTCTTTTTGGATTTTGTGAAATGATGTCATTACCCGGGTGGTGGTTGCACATCGTTAATGCACCACAATATCGCCCTTAGAGAATTCTTGTGACATGCTTCGAAGAAAAAGCAGAGTGTATAACCCTAGGTGGCGTTGTTGGTCTCTGCAAATGTGTCCGATTGACCTCCTTCACCCTGCTTCTGTCAGATAAATCCTTCGCTCTTACCCAAAAAAGAGGTTGGGCGACCAACGGAGGCTGTTAAGGAGGCCCTGGTGGACGACACTGACACATTGGCGGCAACTTGCGGACCCTCACGGGTTTTCGGTAAAGCGCCCGTGGCCACGGGGATCGCTGGGGCTGAGGTGCTCACCGAAGAAAACCGGCAGACGACAACGGAACAGGGCGATTCCAGGAGAAAGAAAAAGCCACGTAGAAGCAAGGACAGTGGGGAAGTCGAAGAGGGAAATGGCAAGGCAGAGGAACTTGACCTCGAATCGGACATTGACCTCGAAGGTATGGGCCAGCATTCACGCTTTTTTCTCTTACTTTTTTGGCAAAAATCCTCGACGGCTCTCTCGAAACAAGTATTCTAATGCTAGGATGGACAACCATCAATATCAACTCTATTTGTCGTGGCGGTGCTGATACATCCCATGGAAGACCTTTAATCGTCTGTGGTTCTTCTTTTTTATCATAACTTCATACAGTTTATCACGCGGAGATTGTTATTAATCCACTGCCCAGCCCATCATTCTAGATGGTTTGTTTTTGTGCCTTAGTTGCTAAACTGACTTGCATGTTATCTCAATAAACCATTTTCAAGCCGTTGATGTACTGCATAGTGGTCGAGTTTCGTCAAACCTAGGAATAAGTTCATTAAAAGCACACTAGCAAACTCGAAAATGCTCACAGGTAAAAGCAAGTTGATATTTATGCGTATTGTCTTGGTGAATATCAAATGAACCATCCTTTATTTTGTTGCTGGCGGCGTCGTTCGCTGCCTTGCCTAATTACTCTTGGCCCCTTTTAGAAGACTTGGGCGACGACGATGATGATGATGATGATAACGAAGGTAGCGAACATGGTAGTGAGGAAGAGATGGAGGTGGATGAGGGCGCTCCTGATTCACCTGAAAGCCGCCCCCAAGACTCAAAGGACGAATCTGCAGTGCCTAATGCGAAAGAAAAGCTCGTTGACGACATAATTTCAACTCGTGTCCTCACCGAAGAGGATTTCGAGGCGATTCGCAGGCGGCAGGCAGAAAAACAGGTTTGCACGGTTCTCTGTTAATTTTTACCTTACTCGTGGGATAGAAAAGTCTGATTTTATTTGTTTTGCGGCTTGTTGACCTGCACGTGGGTCACCAAGCTAGCGGTTGACATCGCTTTGTTTAAAAGCGTTTCTTGCGTTTCAAGTGCTGCAGGCGACCCTCACGACATTCTCGGGAAAACCTCTGTGTGATAAAGCAAAAGGCCTACTTAAGCAGCCAAGTAGCAGCATTTTATTGTCTTTGCCTAGGCGCGCTTCGCGACCACCGGAGGCCGCAAAAGGAAACGCGGCGGTAATGTCGAGGTGGAGGAATTAGCACTCGATGAGGACGTGCTAGGCAGTGATGAGGACGCTGACAGCGACAAAGAAGGCGCCACGGAGGAGGCGCATGGCTTGGTGTCGATGCGGAACATCACAAAACTCGTCAAGCGGGCCCACTCCACCAAGGCCGACCGCTTGGACTCCATTGTCGAGGGTCGGGAGGGCCGGAAGAAGTACGGATTTCAGGTAGGCAGCTTGTTAATGCGCTGATGCTGTCACGACGCCTCTCCGGGTCTGTTGCCTGGTCTCTGTCGGTGCGTCCTGTCACTACAGCAATCCTGAAATACGTATGCTTGTCAAAAAATTTGCCAAGCCCCGATTATCTTAGAAAATCTGCCCCTGAATACAATTTCAGCATTTCATAGTACCCGTATCGTATTCCGCACAGAATGCAAATATGATCAAAACATCGTTTCTAATTTTAAAACTGGCTTGGAATTTTATCCACTTTTGTCTTCCGCCAAACAAATTTTGTTAATTTTTTGCATGATGCTTATTCAAGGGTTAAGACAAGTTTATTTCCGTAAAAATATTTACGTTATGCGCAGTTGCTTATTAACAAGCTCTAAGCAACGTGAGTAAATAAGACCCGTCGTCCGAATGCTTTTCGTGAGGCGGTTCTGGCTCGTTCCCCCGCCGTGCCTTTGGACACAATCGGTGTGCCCAGTGCGCTCAGGCCAATCTCTGGTGCCCCGTCTGCTTCACGCATTCTTTTTTTGCCCCTCGGCGACGTGCAAATGCGAAGTGCTCGTGAGAATGCTGCTTCGTGCGGCCAAGTAGCAAGTGTGCCCTCGTGGCTGCGTCGGTTCTGCACCCCGTACTGTCAGTCTCGGATTCAGTCGCCAGAACTGATCCCTTGACCTTTCTCGTTCCGCACGTTTTTATTGCTGAAAACTGAGGTGCACATTCCGGAGCCTGCCCCACCACTAGGGTACCTGGGGTGTGTCAAACGTGATGTCACAAGTGTGTCCCATTATCACGAACGGGTACATTGGCAAACACAGCCGACTTTCCCGAACTTCTTCCACTTCATGTACCCATTGGCAATGCACCGATCGTGCTTTTCCAGTACATCAATCGAACGTCAGTAGAGATTTTCCTCGTTTTAAAGGTCAGTTTCTGTGTGCACAGGCGTTGCTTTTCCTGGTTTTCCTCCATTGCTGCTGCAGTGCGGTTGGGAAGACGGGTGCGCGTTTTGGGCCAGCCCGTTTATTGTCAACTAATCCCCCCCCCCCAATCTATTGAACCGCTTCTTTTTTTTCGTGACCGTGACAAACTAGTGCACGTGGTGGCCATTTTTGGAGCGTGATAAAAAGATAGTCCGGCTAGGCCTTGAATATGTAGTTTTATCTCGCGAGGGCTTCACGTTGTTTTGTTGCCTGCCCGCCTGCCTGCCTTCTGTTAATTTACATGTATCATCATGCACATTCTTGCACAAAAAGGATTCGCCTGACACTGGCTTTCAATTCGCCGTCTCAAGTGCTCGGTTTTTATGTGACTAAAGTGCAAGCCGCACTAGGTGCTGTTGTGTAGGCAGGATGAACTGAAGGGCGCAGGTGTCAGTAGAGGAGATCTCGTAGGAATTTTTGATTCATTCATGGTCTGTGGGCTTCTCAACTTTGCTTTCCTTGCAGGTGAACCGAATGAACCCCCACGCGAGCACAACGAATCGGGAGAAGCGGAAAAATAAAACCTTCCAGATGATAAAGCACAAAGTCCGAAGGAAGGCCAAACGCAGTTTCCGCGAAAAACAGTCTGCTCTAAGAGACCACTTAAAGAAACTAAGCAAAAGCATGCGGCATTGATAAGAGACACATGTATTCACTTTCTCTGGAATTGTAAAGTAAAAACCTGTGACTTGTACTTTGTTGAGAGTCCGGCACTTTGTAAACATTTCCTACTGTCTTGAAACAGTGCACTTCACACTTTGTATTCACAATTTTCTCATTATTATTTCCCATCTTGGGGTTCTCGAATGCCCAAGTTACTGGGTGGATTTATGACGCCCTAATGCAACATAATGCATAAGCATACCTTATTGATGCACTGTCGCGAAGTTTTTGGCAGACAGCACGAGCTTTTTGCTGGGGCTCATCTTATTCCATGACTCAATTTGCTAGATGGCTTTGCGACACCCGAGTTGTGATTGCAGTTCACCAATTAGCTACTTTCGACATCATTCTTACCGTGGGATTCGTGGAAAAGAGCCAGGTATGCGGTTGCTCCTTATGCTATTGCAATTTGTTTAGCACAGTTATCTTTGTACCCTGTTACCAACTGGACGAACAACCAAGCACAATTCTCTTATACTCACAGTTTTGGGAATTTCCTCGATTGAGTCGGTTCAAGCGCTATCGAAGCACAGGCGATGTCTGTTCTGGAGCCGTCGCGGATCTTGTTGTACCTCTGGCCGACTTTGACGCTAATTGTTAGTGGAAGTCACTTGCCAGAGTGGAAGCCCCATTTCGATACCCGGACACTGCGTGGAGAGTGCAAAGGCCACTCGCAATGGAGATTCACTCTCATCAAGTATCGTAACCAAACGGTTGTTCGTATAAGATCTCGACTGCTTAAAAAACGCCGACAGGGTCTGTTGATAATCGGGTGGCAAACAAGCTATGAAGCATGAGGCCGAATGATTAATTAGATGTCGGTAAGACGGGAGGCCCGGTGCGCGAGGAGATAAGTAAACCGGAACATGCGTGAACGCAGATGGTTGACTTGAATCAACACAATTCCGCACACCGAAGCATCCTCACTAAGCCCGTGGCTTCCTAGTCCAAAGGGGAGTTCTGTGTTACTCATGGGCTGCTATGGTGTTTAGTGGCTATCACCTTGACAAGCGCGCCATTTCTTTTGGATTTTGCAAAGTTTGGCAATCTCTTGCTCTAAAGTAATGCTTAACCGATTAAATGATTCCTATTTGCAAGTAATCGTAAAAAAAATTTACGGCGATTTGAAGAGGAAATTATGTTGGTTGACTTCTTGTTCTAATGGGTCTAGGGATTACGGAAAATCTCTCGCGCTTTTCTCTAGGCAAATTTTGGCGAGGGGTTACCTTAGGCGTCTTATTGTAGTGCACCATGCCTTTGCCAAAAAATGCAAGTGTTCTCTGCAACAGGGGCTTGTGGGTTTGCAGTGAAATGCACCTCGGCATAACAAACTTACAAGTATTCCCGCTGTAGATGGCTTTTTTTTCTAATCACTATGATTTAGTGATGATTGAGATTCCTGTTAGGAGATCTCGAAACAGCTGCCTGCTTCCGGATAAAAGTGTAGAGTGGTGGTAGCAATTAATCATTTGCAAACAGTCATTGACATTATCTGTGCTCGCCCAGTTAAAGTACAATGTTCTAGTAAAAATGTATGTTTGTTTCCGTGACCGCCTTCCAAGTGTGTTAGGGACTTTTAAGGTAGCCGTTTTGGTGCTCTTGATAAAACCCTTTTTTTATAGATTATTTAGCCATGTTTTGGCCTGGCGTTGGACGTAGAAGAGCCCATAGGTGGTGATGCTTGTCTATGCAAGCAAGGTCTACAGTCTAACCCAAAGAGCATGAATGTAAATTTGATTTCATGTGAACACGACAGTTTTGCCTAGTTTTCCAAGCCGCCTACACAACCACACGTGCATTTTTACAAACGTGACTTCCACCTGCCTTATGGTATTGTGAAGTTTCCACTTTCGATTCTGTTGATAACATCAGACGGCCCCGTTAGGTGACCCCACCATGACTGAGAACCCAATGGGGTTAGTTGGAACTGTCACTGTTTGCAAAACACACACACAGGACATTGCCAAAGAAGCGCCTTTTGGAGCTCAGCCAATTGGCCTTGGAGGTGAGCTGTAATGTTTGGCTTTAGCATCTGTGCCCAACAAAATTATTTGAGTCCAGCCAATTGCTAATCACATTCAATTGGAATCCCAGAATTACTTCTTCAATCTATGGAAACTTCACTCTCGTTGGTGTCCATCTATGTCCCTGATGGTACAAATTTGGTCCATTGTTTTCAGGTTATATGAAGGTTCGTTTAGTACTGGCTAAAAATAAATGGAAGAGTGTTGCGCTCCATTTCAATTCGTTAAGACTTTGCTTCAGTCAGATTAATGTTAATTACGTTGAACGTTTAACAGTTCATAGCCATTTCGTTGTCCAAACATAATAATTCTGCGGGTGTAATCATTTAAGAGGGGTAAGTTCAAGGTCATTTCTAGCCTTTGGTTGAGGATCGATTTCGCAGCAATATACATAAATCTCCCAATAAATTTTGCTTTGCTTGGTTACACAGTCAGCTCTAGGCGATAATAGCCTTACCAATCACAGAACTTTTGTGAGTTTGTATCAGCTGCGTTTTAGTGTTGAAGGTTACTTCTGAAAGGATTCTGAAATGCCGAACAAGTCAACAGAAAGCGAATACTAAAATAAACCTGGCGGCGGAGTAGGCTGTAGATAAAGTTTTGCTTGCCTAAGATTTTGATCCAATGAAAACCCATGAACCTTCACACATGTTGAATTGATAAAAACAAACAAATGAGTAAAATGTGGGCTTGGCTATTCACTTTGTATTTTTACAAAATCAAAACGATGCAGTCGAACCTGCATGTATAAATGGCGTTATTATTTTTATGGCTCTCTTTGAGATCCCGTCCACAGTCCCAAGCTTTTGTTTCCAAAAAGCGCTAGTCAATCCAGAAAGGCTAAGTACTAATGGCATTTAGTTGCAAACAAATTTTCGGGATAATTTTTCGGTCCTCTTATACCCAAATCAGGAAAAAGAGTTTGATATATTTGTGTGTCTTACTGGACAAATTGGCTCTTGAGGATTTTGCCTTGACCTTGAATCGACTCCTGGTAAGTGACTTTATTAGTAAATGTTTCAACGAGATGGTGACGGTGAGGCATTAAGCCGAAACAAGGTTTTGGAGACCAGAAATGAAGCAACAAGTAAAGCTAGACTAACATGTATGTGTCACACCAGGTGATATAAGCTGAATTTTACATGCATACGGAAGAGGGGCATTTCGCTTGTGCTTTTAGAATGCGCACATGTTTCAGAACAAATAATGACATGGGCCGAATCACATTTGTTCATACGCACAGTAACGGATTTAATTCGACCCACCACTTTCTGTCCAATTTCAGTCACCTGACGTTAGTCATCACCCAAAAGCTTGACAAATATACGCTTCGCTTCAAAACAACTGTGCACTTTTGGCCGGTTTTAAGAGGAAAAAAGGGCCGTCTGTGTTGCTGGAATAAAATTTTTGGGGCGGCGAAAACGCTCGCATCCGCAGTGGCCGTCCCTCCTCGATGTCCTCGAATGTGGAGAAGTGCAATATGCCCCAGCGGTTTTGCGCTGCTTCGCTTCGTTTTTAAGCAATGCAACCATTTCTGTTGCAGTCACCGGTTTTCTTACCAAACAACGCGAATAAAGTGAGGAGGGGAGTTTAAAATAGCCGACTAGCAAACCTGCTTGAATTTGCGAGAGCACTGACAGTCCGTATGGACAAATCCACGACAGATTTTCTCAAGGATTAATTTGGGCGGTGCTCGCATCCGTTCACTTTCCACAAAAATGCTATTCAAATGTACGAAATGTCTTTATTTACGTAGACATAATTAAAAATGAATGCATTTATTAGTTAATCACTTATCTGAAAAAAATCCTTGGCTAAAAATTAAAAATTCGTTTCGAAAACCTGGCTTTAACAAGGCTGTTTTATCTTCTTTAGAATAGCCCATTCAGTTAATAAAATATGGCACCTGATTTGCGCAGTTCTTAAAAGATGCCATTGAAAGAGGCTTTTGTGGTTAGGCAAGCGTCAACTATGGCCTCATTGGCAATACAATTTAATCAATAATATATTTTTTTTCTATATTATGCATTGTTAAACTCGGGTAATTTGTTGCAGCCAGCAATAACATCTTCGGTTCTAACATCAGTGCCTTCACAACATGGATAACAATGTTAAAATAGCGCTGACATTGTTTGGTGCCAGATAGTTTCGTTTTTCTTACAGTAGCGCGCTTTTCAACTTCACCCGCTCATCGAGTGTCTGCTGCACCGGCATACCTCCCATGCAGACGCAGACAACACCGCACAACTTCACTTTAGAAGCCACATTTCAGTCTTCCAGTTGCAATACGTTTGGGCACGATTGCACAGTGCCCCATGTTTCCGAGAGGACAGCAGTTTTCGTTGGTGTGCGCGCAAGCTCGCGCAGGATCGGGTTTCACTTGCCGGGAGTGTATGCGACGGGTGTAGGTGCACCGAGTCTTTGCCCACAGAAATCCCCGGATCGGTTACTTGCAGATATCAATTTACAAAAAAAGGGCGACTGACGTGGGACCAAACTGTTTGCCCGATATGAAAATCAAATAATCCCACGTGCAGGTAACCGGACACTATGGTTAACAATACTGCATCACGTCAGTGTGCATTATGCATGGCCTTCCCTTTCAGCAACTCCACTAACCGCACCGTCAAGTACAACGCCACGTAGAGGTGAGGTGTGCAATGGTTTTGGACAGCGTTCGTGATAATTGGACTTTGGTAGGAAGACCGGAGATTAAGAAAAACCGGCTAGAATGGGGATGGAGACTTCTCCCCGGCAAAGTGCACTGCCTTTATTAGTTGAAGTGATAGTGAATGAAGTAAAAAGTGGACGCACTTGGTTGAGAAATTGATTTTTAATTACTTCAATCATGTAGAATGATTAAGGTTGATTAATAAATCTTTTTTGAGTGGGTACCGTGTTAATTATTTTGGCACCAGTTAAAAACTGGTCCACGTAGTTTCTCGAAAAGGGCCACTTCGTTTTCACAGGGCGTTTGCTTACCGAAAGATGAAGATGCAGAAATTAAAAGCACAGTTGGATGCAAAAGGTTGAGGCCCAATAAAGAGGCCACCGAAATTCCTTGCATGTCTAAGCTATTTTATAAAAAAAACTGCATTTTAAAGCCCACGCATAAATGCAAAACTCGAGTTAAAAGAGAAGTGACTGTTGGCGTGTATCAAACAAGTCAGCTTATGTACTGAGGGGATTTAATGGAGAAACGTGTTAGTCCTTTGTACAATCGATAGACGTTTGATGTATTTATTTATTAAATAATGATTATACTTGTGAATGCTAATATTTCTGTTAAAAAATAACCGAATGAGCAAATATGAATAACAGAGGAGCCGCTGGTAGGGAGCCGCAGGTCATCGCTGAAGTTCAAGTCGGTAAACAACGTGAAGGTGGGAGACGCGGTGAAGAGGTTGCCTGCTAGGGAGAAAAACTTGCCACCAGCCGAAGGTGCTCACCGATACAGTCAACAACCTCTTGATCATGAAATATCTCTGCTTCAAGGGACTACAATGAAGAAAAGGATGTAACCAGCTTTACCCATGACATATGTTATGGGGAACTCCTTGGCCATAGGTCTTTCAACGGTAATTCCAATGTAGCTTGTTTGTATAGATTGATGTCAGTTATAACGGATTTATAGTGCAGGAGTCACAAACAGAAATACTCTGTGATGGAGGGAATATTATTTTTTTGCATCAGTATAACACTGTCTCAGACATTGTCTTGTCAAGCATACTGTGTTAAGAGTTCACATCTTCATTACTGGCTGCATCTCCAAGACGCACAGTGTTTGGCCCAATGGAATGCCAGATATTATCATTTAACTATTCACGATAGGATCGAAAGGCGAAATTCCCTAGCCGTAACCACTCATCGGGATTACCGGGTGAGAAAAAGCCAACATCGGGACATTCATCGGCTTAAGATGTCAACTTTACAACTTTGACACGTGAACACGGGAACAGCAATACGCCTAGCCATAAAACCATTTTACGGCACCTCTAATTTCTTGACGCTACACTTTACCTCAGTGAAGGTAAATTCACATAGAATACGACGGCTGACGAATCTCAGCAAGGACATGAAAGTCCAAGGGATGCTTGCGTCACGTGTGTCCATTGAGTGCGCGTGTTGGACCAGAAGAACAGAGTGATACCACTAGTGTTCTCGGATCGATGGTACTCATCAGCTACACTATTCATTTCATGAAGACAGTAAATGGTGCTTGATATGTATTAATTGACAGTAGAGCGGGTAAGTGCTTCTTTAAGAAATGCAGTTCGAATTAAACCTGTAGAAACCCCGGTGGGGTTCTTCAAGCACACCAGGGCCGACAACCTACATTGACACGGCCAGACCAGGAAAGATGACAACCGTAGCGAGGGCGTCAGGAACGCATGACAATCGATCGCAGGCCTCTACAAGTCTAATTCGAACTGGATTTCTTAAAGAAGTGCATCTACCACACTCAGTTCACTGTGTAGGTCAACCCGAGAAATCCCAAACGTATTGCAACCCAAACGAACGCGTAGATAACGTTTTGAGTTCAAGTTCGCTCTTACCTGTTGCGAATGTTAGCATGCTGGTCGCCACAGATTATTGAAGAGCAGTTAGGACTTGTCTATATATGGCAGGAATAAGAACCACAATGGATGTTATGCGCTTCATCTCAATAGTTTTTCCGAACTCCCTTAGATTAACTGATAATTGGAGGTTTCAATTTGGTAGACCGCTTTTTTGACAAAGTGTGATACAAACAAAGCTACAGAATGCATTTCTACAGGCGTCTAATATAACCACTAACCTTAAAAGTATTGATAAAAGAGAAATTTACCAATTTAATGAGAAGGGCCTGAAGATATTTGACGAGGTGGCGAGAAACAAATTCAGCCAAGCACACAGCAGAATCGGTCCCACTTCGGGGAAGACTTGAGGGCGAAGACCGACCGCTTGAGTTGTAGCACTCTTGACCGTCTGACATGGAAAACTACAAAACAACGGCAAATGTACATCCACTTAGCACAAATCACACAATAGTTCTACTGCCAGGTGAATTTTATTGCAATTGCAGTCAATGAACCCTTTTAGGAAGGAACCTGATCAAGTTAAATAAAAAGACTAGCCAAAGGACACTGACTTTCGGTTAAATTAAATGATAAAACAAGAATCTAGGTCCCACATTTAGATCTCAAGCATGAATTTGCGTGTGAGCAGCCATTGTTTACCTGCGGGTAAATGGGATGTCCCTTGAAGAACTCTTCATTAATATGCATATGACACTGAAATGTTGCGATAAATGCGAGTAAGTCAGTGTTTCGGAATCGTAACACCCAACCTCGTTTGTTTTGGGCCTTTTAAGTACATGCATAAAATAGTGCACAAATTCTTGACTTCCTGGTCAACTGCCGACGCTTATGTGGTAACGAAAACCACCTGACCAGAATGGTAGAAACAGTTGTCTGTAACTGGTACCCTCACCAAATACGCAGATTTTCAACCTGTGGAGAAGACAGAGGTGATACATGGGAACACGTCGTTTTCTTTATTATAATTCAGCTTCATCCCTAAATCGCACTATTAACTTCCGTATTTTACATTTCCTTCGTCGCGGTTGTGATGTGAACAACCAACTGACGCTTTGAAACCCAAGTGATCAACTTGCTACATGACCGACGATTAACTTCGCTGTGCACGCTGGTGTGAGGGCGGGGAGGGGGGTAGGGTGGTGTTCGGATGGGGCGGGCTGGGCGAACACTACCTTCCGCATACAAACACACACGCATACACACACGTTTTAGTGGGATTACGACCAACATCAGTGGCACGTGGCAGCGCTGTGCCAGTCTCACCCGAATGCCTCACTCAGACGTACTGCCTAATTCATGGTAGCTTAGACACCACAAGCGTTAATTAAACCCGTGTTTCATTTTGTGGGTTTTGAAGTGAGCTCCTGTTGCAGTGACAATTTAAAATGTCTTTAGTTTTGTGCAGTTTTCACTTTAACTGACAACTAATTTATGCAGTTTGGTGTCAAGACTGGATATGACAGCACTGTTTTTACATGTAGGACGGAAGTAACAGCGATTGAGAGAAATAATTAATAAGTTCTGAGTTAGGAGGAAGAATTTGGATCAACCCTTCTGCAAGCGAAGTATCTTAGCCTCGATTTCCCAGCAATAAACTTTCGTCTAGTTTTCAAATAGGACATCTCTAAATTTGAAGGATTAAATTAGGTTTTAAATATACACGAGAAAAACCTATTAGCTAAAATGATAACTGTACGACATTACTTTTATTCCAAAAAAAGTCCCAGATGGAGAGAATGACTTTATCTCAATTCGTTAGCGAAATTAATGGAATTACACGACTACAACAGGGAACACCTGGGATTAAAAAAAAGTTTTGAATTTTATAAGACCACTGAAAATAACCCATGAAACGTTAAAACAAACTAGCGAACCCTGAATGCGTTATATTTCTATTGAAACTACCGTAAGTTGACATTTTAGTTTCACAGCCCAATCAAATATTACTCTAACTAATTGGCATTTTTGTTTTCCATGGATGATGGTAGGGATTTGCGGTTAGGTGGCTTATTCAGCTAACTCTTCTGGGTTTTTTACTTAGCAAATTTTGGACCAACTCGTGTGCTTCTCTAGTACTCAAATAGTGTTCTGATATCCGTGGCCGAAGTCAAAGGTGTCTTGTGCTCATGAAGTAACCGTAAATTATTTGCCTTAATACTTTTTGTCATCTGAGAACACAGGAAGGTATAATGCTCAATGAAATGGGTGCCAGGGTAGAGAGCGGAAAGCCAGTTAAGAAGAGACGGGCCGTTAGAAATCCATGCCCACAACTTCGCGTAGTTAAAGTGAAGGCTGACATGTCCACTAACAACCAGGAACCACTTTGCTCTAAAGTAATAAGTGAACATGTTCGCATTCGGACTAGATTTTCACTAGAAATCCCCAATTTCTCATAACATTGCAAACTTTTTCAAATTACAATGTTCAGTTACCAAGAGAGGCAAGTAGTGGTACACATCTATAATTATTTTTATGCTTTGTTTAAAGAATGTCGAGAAGCCCAATTAAGTGTTTATGTATAAGTCGAGGGCCATTGAAAGAGAATTACCCGAAGAGACTTAAGCAAATTTCTTTGGCCCATGCAGTATTCATGTCCACTACACATTGACTGCATGGGATTGCGACTTAGATGCAACCAGTTTCCTACCAGCAGTTCCTCAGTTCACGAGGTAATATTTGCGTAACATTAATTATTGATCATTATGCCCAATTTGTCTCCATAGTACCCAATAACACACACAACTTGTGTACGCGAATTACGTCCCTGAATCATCCACCTCACTGGCATAACTGGTCGTAAAGTAATGTAACACGGTGCTTCATGACCTCGACATATTCATTGAAAGCTCTTCCATGACGTAAGTTTATCTGGCCAATCCCAATTAAGCGTCTTCTGGAAACCATGAAAAACCACACCTAATTTCGCCTTGTGGCCATAAGCATTGTCGGTTGTAGTCCTAAAAACGCTTGGTTTGAATGAGGCCTGCGCTGAGAGCCAGCGACGTCTTTTGCAAAGTCTACATATTCAAACCCATGTGTCTGAGGTGGGTTGGGTTTTCTGATGAGAAAAAACCCAAACGCGGAAAATATTGCGCTGCTGAGAGCCCGTGGTTTTCTCATGGACGTGGCCTTTGTTGGGTCTTAAAAGAGCCGACATTTTAGAAAGTGCAGGCAGTTAATTTGCATTCAGTATGATATCAAGCAGGTGCAAGTTGTGTGCTTACTCAAGTGAAAATAAAAGAGAAATCATGCACACGATTTCTAAGTGTAGTTTAATTTACCAAATTTTCATAGAGCCCAAACATGTTTAGACCATGTTTCATCTTTGAATTGACGCAATGCATCAGTCCTTTGCCGCGCTTCTGTAAACAGTTTTTTCGTTCCTAAGCTTAATTACATGTAAATCTGGCCTATTTTGATTATCTTCTCTGCTGGCACAAACTTCCTCATGACCGTTCGTCGTCTGAAATCAGATCTAAATAATAAGGGAACACCGTAATTCGTCCAAAATCTCAAAAGAGTTGATTTGTTTTAGAAAATTAGGAGAACTATGGATGCCCTGAGACACGATGTGTTTTGATACTCAGACCAAAATAATATCTCGAAATGCGTTTCACAAAATCCATCATGAAGTTCACGTAGCACATTGGCTATCCGCTTTGCATTCGGTCTAATGGTCATGCTATTGAACCGAATCACTCGGTACCAAAGATGGGTGATTCCCCTATTTATTCCTTTAAGTTGTCATATGTATTTTCGAAAAAGAAAGCCAAGCAGGACGATCGCCAGATGTTGCAATCCTTCGAGTGACTGATTCAAGTAAACCTTTATGTCCATGGTTTCAATGCAGGTTGACGGTTGTAGAAATTTTAGAATTGTCGGGAAGGTGGTCACAAGGTCGAGTGGTTTGAATGCGTGACACACGAGGTGGCTTAGCCATAAACTCTCTCTCCACCTACTTTAAAGACAATTGTTAGCACTTTTCAACCCGGTGCTTATTTTTCCGTCGATTTCTAAAAACAACAAAAGCAGCCCCTGGTGTAGTCCATCCTATCCGGACTTCTTAATTCTCCACAATGAACATCCTTCATAAAGGAACAGTGGCATTTATTAATTTAAATTGATGTATATGTGATTTTAATTACCATGAAACTTCAATTCTGCTATTTTTTAACATTGGATGCAAGATCCTCAGCCATCTAGCGAACTTTTCTTTAAAAATTTAACTACACGCATTTGATGACGTATTAAGTAGCACAACATAAGACAGAGCAAGATAGGCAGCAGCACTTTTCCTTGTTTCACAGGATTATAATTGTTGTTCTTCGGTCGGGGGTGTCCATTTTCTAATTGTGTCGTGGTAATGTAAACACCACCAGAGTGGAATAGACGTAAACCAATTAGGCCATTTACTAGTTAGGCTAGAGGCTCCTCCCATGCATTTTAAAGGTGATTGATGACCATTGGCTGATCATCGGTGGCTCGTGTTCCATGACTAGAAATTCAGCAAAACATTTGTTAATCAGTCATAGATAAGGGGCGGAGGTTACGTAAATCTGGCCACCAAATGGAGCTACGTGGTTTTTCCTAGTGCTACTAACATAGCCTTCACTTGATTTCAAGCAAAAAGGTCTTAATAGTTGTTAGAACTGCCACTACCCACTCTTGGTTTAGCCTGGGTACAAAGCAACTGCAAGATCAAATCACTAGAAGCAGGTTTCGTCTTATAATACTGGAGGCAAATCGATGGTCGAGGCGTTACTCCTGAGTTTACAACTAGTCGAAAATTGTAGGGTGATAGGTCATACTGCCCTGTAGTGTTTTGGTTTCAAAATTATATTTTAAATGGCATTCGAAACACAAGCCGATTGTCTAGAGTCTAATCAGAAAAGAATTGATTTCAACATTACTGATAGAAAAACCCCAACGACCTGCCATATTAGCTGTGACCGAGATGAATTTTTGGATGCCGATCTATGCGAGGTCCCAAATTCGGTAAACTGTTTTATTTGCTTAACACCTTTTAAAGATGTTAAGCATTTCGTCATTTCAGCAAATGACGAATTAACACACAGGGTCAGACATCGCTGATTTTCATGAGACGTTTGTAGGAAACGGCCCCTTGTATATTGACGCCAACGTAAAAAGTGGACATACATGCTCTTCGAGCATAGAGCCATTCTAAAGTATTTGTGTCATTTCGAATGGGAAAATTTGGTTCCATCGGAAATTAATTAAAACCTTTCATTTATCTGGTCATCATCTAGGAGAGATGACTCCAGATTATAAGTTTGTGCCCTCATTGTCATTACACATTTCGTTGCTGCATTGGGGCGCATCTCCAAGTGGATGGATAAAGTATACGTCTAGACTTGAGCGTGGCTCAATAAATAAACTAGTGATAGTAATTGTGTAAGTTACCTAAGTGACTGCACGTTGCAAAATTGCCACAACATCCACCACCGGAACTCACTGAGGTCTCGTTCGACTTGACGTCATCCGATTTGGCCTGACTGTCATGAAGAACGTAAAATTGGTACTGAAGGCCAGTGAGGAGACGAGCCTTGGTGTTCTCAAGGTCATCGCGCAGACGCTGGGCCTCGTTGATCTGCTCCTTCAGCTGCTGTCGGCGGCTTTGTAGGGGGAACTGCATGAGGCGACAAGAAAAACAAATAAACTGAAGAGCAGAGTGCAGGTCCGTTTAATTTAACGTCTTTTGTGCGCATAGTGAATGCGAGTGGATTCGACTGGAGCATACAACTGATATGATAAAAAAATGTGATGCATAAATGCGTTTACAAACCGTTCACTATTTTGAGGATCCCCAACTCCCATAAATTGCCTTTGGCCTTTGTCAGGTTGGAAAAGTTGATGGTAACCTCGTGGCAAACGTGTCACGTATTAAAGGATAGTCACGTAGAAGGTCCATCGTTCGTTTCCACTGCGGCCTCTCGAAACACATGAAGGAGTCGAGCTTTGGACATCAATTAATAATGTCTGCATGTTTTAATTTGCATGTAGCGGAAACAAATTGTTCTAATGGGCATTCTTTCCTGTTGGCAACAGTGAGCTTGTAAAATAATGCAAACTATTTCTATTATTTTACTACGTCTTTGGCATCCTCTTTTATCCAAGGCAGCGTACGGTAAATACTTGGAAAAAATTTAGCACCCAAATTAACCTGGGGTTACGCTAGTGGTCAACCAGCTGAGGCTCTCCAAGCCATTCATAGAGAGCAGGGAATCGTTTCTAAGTTGGTTTGAGACGCCGAAACTTGTAAATTGTCGCATGTCATGAGCAAGTCTAAACAACGAAATAGCATGATGGGCACAGGTAGCCTATTTTGTGCTAAAACATTGAATTAACCAATTTAAAAATGCAGACAAATGCTTGTTTGTTGCTGACTACAATAAAAAATATTGACGATTACCTAAATCACCCCATAACCAAAAGGGTCTACGTCGTGTCGATGCGAAAATTCGCACCCTACAGGGTGTATGAAGACTACTTAATATTTACAAAGCGCTAGGGAACTTCTAATATCACAAAAGTCTGAAATTAAAAATGAGTCAAATTTCATTTGGAAAAGGTTTATCGCCTTCAAAACAGGGCAAACAAGTCAATAAACACCCCCCCCCCTATGCACAAACGAGGTGAGGCTTAACTGGTCTTACTGCGTGATCTGTAAACGGGGTGCGCAGTAAAGTACACTGGGATGCACTTTTTAGGAAGGTCGCTCCCAACAAGCAATTTGGACTTATTTTATCGGCCATTTTAAAATTATCAATAAACAGTCGGGTCAAAATGTCACACAAAAGTTTTTTTTCGAAAATTCTTTACTTATACCTTCATAACCTGCAGGTAATTTGACATAGCGCATAATCTATTAGGCAAGTTATAGGATGGTTACGGTGTCCTGTTGTAATCTAATTTTTTTCCACTTCGGTATACAAGCTTCTCTAACTGATAAATTAAATGCTTGCTCGCCAATTCGTACCTCTAGTTACGCATAATCGAAGCCTAAAGCATGTTGTGAGGACAAATTTGTTGAGTATGCGCCTGTAGTTACTCCGCTGAACCTTCAGAGAGAATATACTTAAGAATAACCACCTACACACCTTCTTGGTGGCCTTTTTAGTGACGATGATCTATTATCGAGTGTCTTGACAACAGAATGGATGCTTGATTTGATCTCCAAAAGACAACTCCCGCCATACTGTGTACATGTGAGCCAAGCAGCCTCAAAGTACACTCCATTAATAAAACTCCTCCAACTCCGTACTTGGAGGTTGCTGCAGGAATAGTCTTCACCGAGTTCAAATCACAATCAAAAATAAGAAGATTTAGCACATTTGGCAACCACTGGCATGCTGTTTCGCAATGTAGAGAGCAAGGGTAGGAACTGGTGAAGTGATGGAAGAAATCTTTTTAATCACACATGAATCTCTTTTGCCAATCCAAACAGTCAATCTTTCAAGAAAGAGATATTTATTTGATTTAAAGGAAATATTTCCAAATTCAATTTTCCTTAATAATTAAACATTTAAAAGCCCTCGCTTTTTGATTTGCTAAAGTTTGATGCATTGTAGGCTTTAAGCAGTAGAGAGTATTCCTTTGTTTCGACAGGAACCATCTTAATTTCTAGTAACATCTCAACACTTCTGGTGTTAGAATTTGACTTATCTAATTCACCTAGTGCATTTCAATTAATTCAATGGCTTTAATTTGCTTCGTTCGATTTTACGTAAGCAGACAGCACAAAGCTTCACGGGCCTACGACGCCTGCTTTCGGAATCACCGTACTATTCTTATCCTAAACGAGGATTTGTTAATAACATTTATTGCAGCCTTAGGCTATTATGGCTGTTTTTTATGCATTTTTTTTCTCATGCGAGTGTGATTCTTTATAATTACATTTAACCACTAACTTCGTGCCTTTTATTATTCACATTTAGTTTCATGTTTTGAGCAGTAAAGATTTCGGCGGTCGCCATGATGAATGTAGCCGTAACAATAATGAGAGCAATATTAGTGACAGTAATGACAACTGTCCTTGTGAAGGAGCAGTAATACCACTTAACGTACACAAAATTGAACAAACCACAATGAGTTACGTCGCTTCGAGTTTGTGAATGTGAACCTTGGTAAATTTGTGGTTAGTTATTAAAAATGAGGCTTTACATTAAGTGAAAATTGTCTACAAGTTTTGCGGAATCCGTGGTGATCAGCGAACGAACATCGTTAGCGGGTGTGAGCGAACACGAATTAAGTCGATTTACATCAAATGCACTTTACGTTCACGGATCGATAGTATTGCTTTGTATAACCACGCCAATACCGCATCGATATAACAGTTAAGCTACGCGTTGTCTGACGTATCCTTGCTCTCCTGCTTGGGCCTTGACAGCATAGGTTGCTTGGCCTCGGTGTGGGCACCATATTCGGATTCAAATCAGTTGTCCCCTTCCTATTCGTCCATTAATCACTGAAGGAATTACTATTCTCAATCGCAATCAGGGCTGCCTAGGTCAAATGTAAGTAGGTGCATCTGAGCATGTACTCGGCCTTTTGGCTGAGACAGTACGAGGTCTGATCCTGTCCTAGTTTGGGGCGACAGTGACTCAAGGTTATTCTAGTCGAGATGATGTGGATACACTTACAAGGGTGGCATTGATCTCTTTTGGGATGCGACTATCAGGATAATGAGCACCTTCTGCAGTCATTGAGACAGACTCGATGCGTCGTTCGACCGAATACAATCGTCGTGTTAACTGACAAAGGAGTTCGAGGACCGAGGTTTGGCTGGAGAGGAGTCGGTCAAAACGAGCCGACAGGTTGGATGTCACGTCTTGTGTGAGCACTCGGCGACCCGGTGGCAGTCTGCCAGCGGAAGGCACCTGACATACCTTCATTTCTACCGGTTCCGCCGGCGATGGGGAGGTGTGGGGAATGTGGAAGTAGCAGGCGTCCACTTCCGTCCGCATTTGAGGGATGGCCTCGGCTACTTTGCGCAGAACACAACGGACCTACAACAAATACCGCACACAAATTGCATAGGATAAGCCGTGAAACTTTGATTTTACCACACACAAACGTCGAATCGGCTTTTACATAAAATGACCGGAGTGGCAGGGTGTGTGGATAGCTGATGACGAATCTAGTTAACTCTAAATTGCATTTAATTTCTGACGGTCATTAATTCGAAAGACACTGCCTATATTTTGCAAAGTACACACAACGTGAAGACTTTAAACAGCATGATAGATAAGTGATGGATGATTTTGGGCACGTTACTTTTAAAGGGAATGCTCCATCTGAAAGGATGCGTGCAAGCCCCACAAAACATTAAAAAAGGTCTTTTTGTGGGGTCAACTTCGGAGTACACAACGACCGTCATAAAATGGAAGGTAAGGGTTTAAATGTGCATAATTATAGAAACTACTGAAGAGTGGAGTCCAGTGACAATCGTAAAAAGTCTTTGTTTTAAACGCAGCATTTTTCTCGTGTAAAATTATGCTTTTATAATAAGAGGAATGTAGATGTCAACTTATTTCTAGCAAAAACTATTTCAATCTTTTGATTATCAGGAAACACACTTCCATGAAAACCAGGTGTGGTTAAAATCGTCACTCTTAAAATCAAGGTTTTTTAAGTTTCAAAGTACTAATTCACCAAAGACCTACGACACTTTCTCAGCCTTAAACATTCTCCATCTTAATATTCAAAAAAAGGGAAAAAGTTGACCGATTTTTTACCAAAATGCGTTGACAGAGAAGCTTGAGCATGAGGAGGCTGCCATAAAAGAGTTAATGACTCATGCATTCCACAAGCCCTGTTCACCGAAGTGATGGTTCAAGTAAATCTTACGTGGGGCTGGCATGGCGCTTTATTTGGCGTCAACACAGCACAGTCATTACTGAACTGATTACACAGATGAAGCATTAAAATAGCTGTGAAAACCTGCACATGTGAGGCCAATTACGTGGTATTACTCCGTAAGTTATTCAACCCAGCAGGAGTAAATTCAAGTATGATTAAGGCATTCAGCAAGTAGAATCTGATGTCCAGTTCAGTGAAATGTGATAGACCCATTCACAGGATTTATTCCTCATGAGCTATGTTGCATCTGGCAAACATTCTTTAAGATGCTCGCGCGCCAGAACTCGAAAATCTCATGTTGTTCAAGGGTAACATTCTATGTGCAAAGGACAAGCAAAGTAGCGTGCCTCTTTAAAGCCAAATACTTCAGTGACTCACCACGTCAGTCTCCTTCTCCAATTCTGTGACATTGTTGGTGGCATGTTCAAGAAGGTTTCTCTTGTGAGCCAGACGAGTTGACAGGCTACGTGCCAGCCGACGCAAGAGGGTCTCAGGGGTCAGGTTCGTTGAATGTCCTGGTGACGCATTGGTCATCGACCGATCGAGGGTCCAGCTATCTTCTAGTTCACTCGGATGGTCTAGGGTGCTGTTTCCCCGGGTAATTCGTCTGGTACTGAATGCGGCAAACAATTTGTCTGGTTAGCTCGATGAAAGTGGAGTTCAGTTTACGCCTTTTGAATAATATGGGCTATAAGTGTTAAAGTGCCAATGTAATTTTATAGCCTAACTGAAAGTATCGCACTTGTACTAAGTACTTACGTTGATAAGCCTCTTTCGAACGGTTGACATGACAGGAAAACGTTACAACCATGAGAGACCAAAACAAAGGCAAACGCAATTAACGTATGATCGATTTAAGCGTAGCATACGCCGGCAAAGTCAAAAGTAGATACAGAGAAAACAGTATAAAAAGGGGTATTTACATTCACAAATTCAGCAAAAAACGCCTGACACTGAGTTTACTCCAAGGCAGTAGCTGCGTCTTCACCTGCCCTATTCGATAGCTAGGAACCGATGTCTTTCCCGAGGCTGTGATCAAAAACTTTCTGATGTAACCTAGATCCTCGGGTTCGTCTATAAGTGGTGGTAGGCTATCTTTATAGATGCTAATGCTTGAACAGTTGCAGAACGAAATCTACACGGTATTAACGCCCCCAGCCAGCTTACGTCTGTACGACGAAAGAGTGAACCCAAGTTACCATGACTGATCGTCTCTTCGCACTAGTTTAAAATTTGCCTTTTTGGTTAACTTTTAATCCTAGGAACACTTTAACCATAAATGTATGCGAGCCTGTAAATAACCTTGCAAGGGTCCCCTGTAGCCTTATTGACACAGAATCTAGTAAGCATCACTATTTGCATTCCAAGTGCTTTTACGCTATGTGATCGGGTTGTCTAATTACGCCAAACTACGCCGAGACATTACATACTGTGCGAATGCAATCGGAATGCATACCAGCATGTTTGACAGTTGCAGCTAGGCTGTCCGAATGAAATAAATCTGGACACACACAGCACACAAAGAAGCGCCAGGGATTTACATGTGCATATTAAGTATTACGATTTCTATGAATTTTATTAACGATTTATAAAGGTTTTTCAAGTACTTCATTCCCTGTGCACAAAAAATGCTCCTTTTTCCCAAATCAGGACAATGGTGTATATCTAAGAGAGCGCAAACGAATCGTAGCTTACTCGTATTTATTACAAGAGCCGTTGGTTTCGTGAGCGTAACTGTGTTCGGGGGTAGAGTCACCAGAACAGAGTAGTGTTGTCTGGCTAACCGCCAAAGAATGTCGGGGCTCTTTTAGACGCAAAATTTTCAGCAGGTAGGCCCTCAAACCACACGACGATCGAAGCTTTGATTTGTCAACACATCCTTGTGTCGAAACGTCGACATCTTCATCACCATCCTGGCTTGCGAAACGTCGCACAATTTCCTGATATTCCGTGTAGGCGTTCAACTTCCGGATAATTCGCAGACACCGTGTATCCAACTGCCTCTCCCGGTCTTCTCTTGGGCGGCAAACAAATGTCGTCGGCTCTAGATAAGCAGGCGAGGTAGGAGTCCTTTTCTCGGTTCCGAGTCGCTGTTCAGGTGGGGGTGGGGGCTCGACATCTTGTGTGCTTTGCACTTGAGGCTTCTTGGGAACTGATTGACTGGCAAGCTTGGAGCCAAGAACAGCTGTAAAAATGTCCCCGAACGACGCGTTCGCTCGGTCGGGAATGAAGTTGACCCCAGGAGATGCGGAAGAGGCGGGCAGTTGGGGTACCGCGGGAGTTCGGTTCCTTTGCGGGGCTGGGCGAGGAGTGCGAGGGGATGCGGCAGCAGATGGATCCGGTTTCCGGTATTCACCACCAAACCCCCGCCGAATGCTCCCACGTTTTGCCATGTAGGAATCAGGGTGAAAGCTGAAAAGTGTTAAGTAGACACCGATAATGGAGTGGTACTTTAATCGCACGGATATTATCGTCTCTACTTTGGAGTTACAAGCGTTGTATACTAACTTTTCATTTTCTACTTACAAAGTGTTCTAGGTGTTGGGTAACATTAACGTCTGCTGCTAATTATAGTTAATAAAGAAAAATTGGGAGCCGGGCACCCGATGAAGTTAAAAACGTCCTAAACTTTTACCTTACAACATGTAACAACAACAAGGAGGAATGATATACATTTTACCAACTTGGCACAGTGAAATATGTGGTTGTGTTCGAGGAAGTCAGTAAGTTAGAAGATTATCGACCTTTTCACAAGTTAGAACTTGCTAACGCCAAGCTGGTATTTTTCAACAAGTAAATCACCTCGTTTTTATCGACACAAGAACACATGACACGAGTAAATGCCAGCAATGTGATTTTACACCCGAATAATACCTGGTTATGGAATTACTTTTATTAAAAACTCAGAACGCATTCACTGACTGACGTTAAGACTGCGTTTAGAGAAAGTGTTATCATAACACACACAGCTGGTTTGACGCCTTGCATCATGTGTGTTTTTTAATCTAAAACTCTTAGCGCTAATTCATCGTGGGTACTATTCACACAAGCATTAATGAGAAACTGATTGAAAATACCAGCTGATGGTGTTTTTGGGGTGCAAACCGGTTACTTCTTCAAAAAGCAGTACAGCCCTGAAGGACATAAAACAAAGCTCAATGCATCACTGGTTATCAGGATAGGAATCCAAGCCACAAGTACCTGATCATGTCCAGTCTCAAAAGTTGTGGAAGGTTGAACCTCCCAAAAACGGTGAACCTTTTTAAGCTACATCTCAAGATGTCGGAATGAAGCATCCCGTAACTAGTAAACTCCTTAGACTCAGCGACTTGTGAAGAAGACAATCAGTCATTTCGTTCTTTTTTTACGTTCTCACGACTTCACATACATAAGCACACATCTTATACAATTCTGTTATTCTGAGATGAGTAGACGAGGGTCCCTCTTCTACAGAAATCGAGATTGAACAAGTATTTTGATATTTTACTTTAGAACCTAGCGTGGTTCTAAGAGAAGAGTTCTCTTATGATAGAGAGATGCTCGTTCAGCGATTGTTACAATACTCGATAGATTAGTCCTATCCTTCTGATTTTTGATTTAACAATAAATACGAACACTTCTAGGGTCCTAATGGCTCCTATCCAATACATTAATTTTTCAAATAATCCAAGCGGATCATAAAAAGGTGATGAAACAAAAAATGCTTGTGAGAATCAACCCCCCCCCCTCCCCGCCTGTGTAGTTCGATTTCGGGTTCCATTTAGCACTAAAGGGGGGGGGTTAATAAGCGTCAGCGGAGACACCAGGATTTACCAACTTAAGGCCTGTGATGTGGTCCCACGGCTTCATGTCCGAATCCTGGCTGGGGGAAATTCAAAGTGTCCAAAGACCTCAACAGCTACCCGCACCCACATTATTCCTTCGTTTTATAGACGTGCACACGCTCTTTTACGTAAACATCAGTGTGAAATCAGGCTCCATTGGGTTGTCACATTGAAAACAAAACTTGTTCTAAGGCAGTTCCTAATTCCCAGTAGTGTAAACAATTTGCCAACTTCTCGGTACTGAACCAAAGATATAGTAGAAACTAGGCACCATTGCCAATGGTGGTAAACTAATGTTCACAATATTAGAAATCTCAAAAAAAGACATAATTAATTCTCGCCACTTCTTGATCTTGATGAAGATCCTCATCTGAGAAGAACAGGAGGATGAAAATGTACTTGGGAAGGGCAGAATATGAAACACGTTAAATGTAATACACTCAATGTGAAATCCTCGGGGAAAACTGACCGATCGATCTTGGCGTACAGCAGATGCCGAGTAGGGGTTTGTTACGGCCATACATGCTTAATTGGCTTCTTCGGATAGATGAAGTACTAAACCCCGAGCTCAGAACAAGTTTCATCTCACAAAAAGTCACTAGTTCATGCAAGAAAGAACAGTGACGTGGTCAGAAACACCTCTCGTTGTGAGAGAATACGGCTGATTATATGTGTCCTATGCTAATTACAGAGGACCACGCATTAGCTCTAATCAGTATGCAGGGTTGTTATAAAAATTGTCTGCTCATGGCACGCGTTTCATTTTGACTCACAAATAGTTTTAAAAAACCGACTGGCTCATTTAAAGAATTTGCAAAATTTACCGATTTGGATTTGTGCATTCTACATACGAATAAAAGGCCGAAACAGCTGTCTGATTTCCTTTTTTGCCTGGCTTGTGACTGGCAACACTTTAAATCGAAGCTGGTTAAAGTTAGCAAAATTGCATACACATATTTCTCGCTTTATGATTAAAATCGGGCAATAATACTGTTTACAAATTAGGCACGAGTCTTTTAAAAGGAGCAGCTTGTATTTCCGTGCGTGAATGGGGAGAAAGTTGACGTTGGGATGTGGTTCCTGTGCAGTGGGCTAGAGCTCGCTGATAAGACTCAAAATAAAAGGAAGTGGCGTCTTCAGTGGTTAAGCCGGTCAGGTGAGAACAGCAACTTGATTGTGAATTTTCCTTCGGCGGTGTTGAAACAACCACATCCAATGCCGCTTAAATCAGCTTTCGGAGAATGAACTATTTTAAATGGTTTCACAAATTCCAAATCATCGATAATTCACTTCATGAAGACAAGCCGGTGACTCGCAGTTGTGGCGGCAGTTTGAGTAGATGCAGTCGTTTTATTCGAGTGACACTCATGCCTTTACTCCCGCTGTCAACAACGTAGAACTTGGTCTTTTCCGAGGTGAAAGAAGTTTACCACGCCGGTTCCAAGCGTCACGAATTGTTCTGTTTTGCCTCGAATTTTTTAGAACAGAGGTCCGCACTGACAACAACCATGCTAAAGGCACTTCTAATAGGCATTTGTTAACAGTTCCTCGTTTGTTTTATGCGCATCGCCTGGGCATAAGGTGAAGGAGAACGACAGCTTCATGAAGACAGATCCCTAATTGGAGACGTCATTCATCTGATCAGCGCCTTCGTCAATGGTACAAAATTCTTGTCATTCTCCCGGATAATTTAATTTCGAAATAAGCTGGATGCGTTAATGAGGAAAATGCTTTTATCGTTGAGACTTAATTTGCGATTCTTTTTGGCTTTTGTGGCTTAACTTTTCGAAATCCGTCAGATGGTACAAAAAGATAACTTTTCATGCATTAAACCCTAACGGTGTGGAAAATATTGTGGTACGTCTGACATTTATGTCCTCAAAATTTAGCAAATGGTCATTCTGGGTGTTGATGGCGTGATTCGCCTGCGTTCACAAATGTGTACGAATAAGTAGGTGGCCGAGAGCTTCATTTTCGAACAAAACCCGAAGGTTTTACGATGTTAATGGAGTAAAAATCTCCACAGGGCTTCAATTTGAAAGAGTCGCGTGTTAAGGCAGTTAAGCAAAAAAAAATAAAAATCTATTTAACCCACTTCAAATTAATTAAAATTACTCGACCAGTGATGATCAATACGGAAGCAGTTTATAAGCTTATAGTTTAATGAATAGTTGCTGTGGCTATTAGAGGCGAAATTAGCCACCTTAGCGTGTTAGCGAAAATACATTCATGCCAAGGTACTCAGACATTACCCGATGCTCACGTTGTGCAGCTTAACCCAAGTTGGCGGAAGGTGCAGAATAGTCCAACTTACAAAGTGATCGCGCCATAATCCATTGTTTCCACCACGTGGCCGGTCAATCAAGGACGTGAAGTGTACTCTCAAGCACACACGCACACACACGTACACGCTTTCACTTTGCCAAATTCGTCCGATTCGCCGTTAAAACGTCGTTTCCATCCTCCTCCTTTTTTTCTTTCTATCTCGCTCTCCTGCACTATGCTACAAGTGGACCTCCTTGCTTGTGCTGTTGTGTGCGGTGTGAATCTGGATTCCGAAAGTAGAAGTTGTACTTCTACGGGAGGCTTCGTGTTGCGTCTCGCTAGCTGCACGCCCGCCGTCAGCTGTTCTTGCGGCTCGTGCCGCGTCACTAGCATGCATGCGCGCACACACACTCGCCACTTTGAATGGTTCACGAATTCCATTGGTGCGGGCGAGGGACCAACCAGATCGGAAAAAGTTTGGTGTAAATCGAGCCGTTCAAAAAAAAAACGATAAACACCAATTGCTTTTTTCCTGTGTATGTCCACCCACCGGGTTAAACCTACGGCCAAGTTATCGGCCAAAACAGAGGGGGACGCATGCATCAGAGTTGTCTCGGAACGTCAATACTGCACTCGAGTTAAACTATACCAAACAAGCAATGTAGAACTAAAAGCATACAATGATAACAAAGTATTTCAAAACTGCATAACAGAAGTAACGATAACTTGTGCGTCGAAGTTTCATGTGATTATGATGGTTGTGTGGTTACAAATGGTCTTAGGAAAATTCTTCATGAATTGTTTTATTGTGGTAGAAGCCAAAATAACTCAACTTCGTCGTGAAACGCCCTAACCCTCTTTAAAACATGGGGTCAATGTTCGAAAAATCTCGTAATTGTGAGCATTCACTATGTCGGTTGCTTATGTAAACATTAAGCAATTCAATAAGTGCAAATTCGACGTTGTGGGAGTGAAAATCAGAATCTCTACTTCTGTCCTTCACTGAAGCATCCGGCTGTCTGGTCAGTTACGGTTGAGTGAACTTTTACTAGGTCCACCACTGAGTGGTGAAGGAAAGAATGAAATAAGTGCCAAGTTTGGCTGCATAAAAAAGAGCCAGTACACGCGCAATAATAGCTGCTGAAGTGGCATCAGTTTTGGCTTCCATGGAATTTATCTCCCAATCATAGCATTTTAATTGCGTCCTCGGCAGTAAATCAAGCAGGTACAAACATTAATCAATTTTAACTTAAATGCAATAATACAACATTATTCGTTTCAGGGTTAAAGCAATAAGACGGAAG